AAATTCGACTTAACGATAAGTTAATTAAAATTGTAAAATTAATGCAAACAAGGTCATTAAACAACCATTGAATTAACAAAATGTTCACTTTGAACGAGACTGTTGAGAGCATTCAAAATGGAATAAGCATGATTTCCTGGAATCTACCCACCCCAACCCAAACCCCCAGAAAAAAAAACAAATGTTAATACATGTATATCTGAAAAAAACTGTTGAAAACCTGTTTCCTTATATTCTGTACAAAGAGTTATTTTTCCCCGTGTTATTTTCGCCCTTTTGCACTTGAGTATATTTTTTACAAATTTTTAATTCGTGAAGACACCATACTATTAAGGAAGTGATGCTCTGTTCTTTGAATTCGCCATGATTTAAAATTGCTCTCTTGTGACCAGGGCGAAAGGGGCGAAAATAAAACGGACGAAAGTTTCCTGCATACATCTACAGTATCCATACATAAGCTTCCTTTTTGTGTCATACATGTAATGCATTAATTAAATGGAATATAGGTAATACCCCTTGATGTTATCCTCATCCCCTGACATTGGAAATCATCATTATCAAAAACCTGAAAAAAAGTCATTCTTTATCTTATGATATATTATATGGTATATAAATCATGAGCATTTGAAATCAAAGTTATAAAATATCTTGAAAACACTTGAAAATCTCTATCCCTAAGACATATTTAATTAAACTATTTGTAATGCGCTTTTTATTTATTGATTATAGTTTGTATCGTATAATCTGTCTTCCTTATGTCACAATATTACGTATATCAATCTGCATGACGTTTCTTACATCACCCTCTGGGGACAGGTAACCTTCCTAGAAATAGAAAAGAAAATCATTTAAAGTCCCATCCCGAAACCTTGTGTCATTACGAAGTAAATGATACGCACAGTATATGGCCATAAATGAGTCATAATAATATCATTTTTTTAATATCTATTTCATTTAAAATCCAATACTTTATACTTATGTTTTTATCGTGAAATCAATTTTAGCCCAATTTCTAGAATTTTTTCACAAGTTTATGTAGAATTGTTTATCATTTCTTTTCCTAGGATGAAAAAAGCAAATTGATACAATAATCACATAGAAAAAAAATTAGAAATCGTCAAGAACATTTTTCTAGGCCCAAAACATCATGATTTCTTTAAAAGAAAATGTGCCACAAAATTTATATTTCGTATTCAATCTGTGATATTCCACATCCCCAACAAATAAAATTATTTTCAAATTATGTGAAGAAATAGCAACAAATGCTGCATTCAAAGGTGTTTTACGAGGGCTGTTAGGAAATACTTGAGGTATTTACTATTACTCCATAAAGTAAAGACATAAATTAATGAAAATTTTTCAACATTTTATCAACAGCAAATAAAACAAACCTGCAAATTTCCTAATTTATGGATGATAAGAGAAATGTCGATGAAAAATTATAAACTTTTAATTCATATTTTCATCGACCTGGAGCAACATCACATCGTTTTTTATAATAAACGTCATGTCAGCCGTAGATCTTTTCTCTTGTTAAAACTATGGGAAAGCTTTAACTCTTCTTTCTCTGCCATCACATATAACATTCTGGATATTAAACTCTTTTCTTTAACTATTTTAAAAAATGTGTTGTTGCTATTCAAATGTAAAATTACACGAAATGGCATATACAGGTTGGCTTGGCAGTTCTGCAGTACCGCTTTTTCCACTGCGGTTCAACGTTATTTAGTCCAAGATGGCCGTCCGGAGCCTTTGCTTTTACTCTGGTTGAATTATATTTGTAAGAAAAAAATGTACCAATGAAAAAAACAACCCCCTAGGCATTTTTTATGTTTTAGTACACTGTAGGTAACTTAGTCTGTACAGTTCTCCACAATGCTGCACAGTATTTTAGGTATGCTCGCTGCGCCGCCATGTCCTCAAAATCCATTTTTTCGTCTTTTTGAGATTTCTATACCGTGCTTAAATTTGCTCATGATCTCTGTATTTCTTACCCAAATTCTATCACACTTGCAGAATAAGTCAAAATAAAACTGAAAAGTACAGACATATTTTGAATTATTTTCGCTCTTACTATGGGTCCCCCAGGAGTAAGAACGTAGGTGTTACTTTTTTCAATATCTGATTTCGTGATTGCGCCGGGTAGCCCTACTATTGATACATTAATATACCTGAAAAGAAGAAATAAAATATATGTAAATTATATCTTGCTTTTATTAATTCTTAGTTTCTGTGAAATGTATGTGCCAATTTTCATTATTTATTCATAACATTTCTTTGGAAAGGAGAATAAACACAATGTATCAATAATGTCCAAACAGCCTCCTATTGATTAAAATTGAGAAAGAAATAAGGTTTGCTATAATTCTTTTTTCAAAAAGGCATATTTTAATAAAATAAATTAAAAAATATATATATATATCACTTATGGGCAACAATTTTTTCAGTTCATGGCCGACATTTTTTTAGTATATATATGAAAATGTCGATCGCACTTTGTTAACGTAATTAATTTGCAACTTTGAATTGTTCAGAAAACATATGACGAAAAAAAAACTTTTTAAAAAGAGTTTCTTTCCGAGCATAAGTCATCAAAGCTCTGACCAAACTGTTATGCGTTTAATGGATTTATGAAGGAGGTCAACTTTAGTTAACAAGATAATTAATAAGTAATAATTCAGTACAAAGTGAAGTATTCATACCTATTCATGTCTCATAGCACAGAGGTTGCTTAAGACTAGATGCATTGAGTCTGTTCAGCAAGTGTTCTGGGATCAGCCCCACTCCTCATCCTTTACTTGGTCAAATATCATTGAAACGATTGAGATTCCTATCCCTGAATTTTTCTTGTTGCACATGTCAAGATTGAGTATTATCTTTGGGCATCTGCCCGGAAGCTACAGTCCCTGAAACGTTCTACTTTCCCATTTTCCCGTTTGTTCACCGTGCGTTCATCGTTCGCTCTCTGTTCACAGTTTTGCGTTCAGGGTTCACAATGCGCTCGCGTTCACCGTTCACAAAGCGTTCAGCGTTCGCTCTGCATTACAATTTTAAAATATGAGTGCATTTATGCAATACGTCCAAAGACCTTTGTAAAATATTTAAATTTTTTTCTCATTATTTTACACGGAATCGCCTTCTCACGGAAATATGCATGGTTGTTACAATCGTTTTAATTCATTCTGTAAGTCAGTAGTTTTCTCTTCTAAAATCCACATTATTTGTAATGGTTTTGTATATCAAATAAGAAAACACATATTTATTTTAGAACTAGAATAATTTTATCTTTCATACTACAGTTTTCGGTAACAATTACAATGTTTTCAAGCGATAAAAATCGTGTGATTAAAAGGTTGAATTGAAACATCACACATTTATATGTGCAGAAAATATTGTGGGAAACTTAAATTAATAGTCTTACTTAACGTGCATGTATCGTATTTCTCGGGACAATTTTGGAACATATATTTTTTTTATTTATTCATTGATTTCTTTATTTCTTTATTTTGAATTCTTTTGTCACCTGACATTAGAATATAATAGAATAGTTTCAAGGCAAGGAAAAGATCAAATGCATTTCGAATAAATCGTTCATCTTGCGTTCACCGTTCACGTTTCGCTCCGTTCGCGTTCTGCGTTCGCTCACCGTTCATCAAGTTGCGTTCAGTGTTCACACATCATTCACTCACCGTTCGCTCTGCGTTTGTTCAGCGTTCGTTCACTGTTCGTTCAGCGTTCGTTCACCGTTCAAGTGGGAAAGTAGAACGTTTCATTGACTGTATTCCCATTCCAAGGATGTGAATAAAAATTATGAAACTTTATAGCACATCTACAGGACACTACTAGTCACATTCCAAAGAATGATTAAGCTAATGTTTAAATGTGTTCTTGGAACAAGGATTTTAGTTGTAGAAAATGTCGTCATTCCTACATGTAGAGTCCATAGATATTTATGTGTACCCATAAAACTGCTCTGACCTACAAATTCATAACTCATATATCAAAGACTTATTTTCGAGGAAATATCTAAAAACCAAACAGATAATTATTCTTAATATCATGCAAAGAGAGGGAAGCAGACATAAAAATAGTGATGAGTGATAATCTCTTTTCATATTTTTGATGCAACATGAAAAATGTGTCTGTTCATCCAATTGTGTTGTAATGTTCCCCTCAAGATAGAATGCATGCAAGTATTCAACAAATATTCAACACTGCATCTTACCATTGATTAATATTATTAGAGGTTTGACATTTTTTTTTCCAAATTAAAAAAACATTCAATTCTTTTACGTACTTAAGATATTAAAACTTCGACTTCCCATTCACGTCATATGTTTTCAAAAAAATAAAAATCAAAGACTATGCTGAGCAGTGCAAAGGGCAGAGGAAAATAAGTTTCGCAACTGTCCAATATCTGTAAAAGGACTGAAGCAGGACAGCTGACAGCAAAGTAAACCATTAGTCAAAGCGTTCATTCATAAAGTATCATACTGATTATTAAGAAGCTTTTCTTTGTATATAACATATTTACATAAAATAGTCAGTGATCATAACAATGAAATATTAGATAAAGAACAGCCAGTTTAACAGTGTTAAGCACAACACTGAATTAATTCAATTAATGCCCTATGAAAACTTGAAATTTAGAAGGAAGTATGCTCAGACATAAAAAAAACTTCTTTTTAAAAAGATCCGTTAACTCAGGCTTTTGATCGAGTACAAATGAAAGGAAAACCAAACTTCGAATTATTGACCAAAGATTACGCTCAAGAATTCATCTGATACTCGTTTATCTGTATTCAATGTTGATTAATTAACATCTAAACAAAATACAGAGTAGAAATGAAAGAAGAAGAGAAATGAACTAGAATATAAACCAAAGCACAATGATGATTCAAAATCCTAAAATCCATATTCAACACAATGTAAAGGCCTTCTTGTATTTTTTCATTTGAATGCAGGAGGAATGAGATCCTGTAAAGGGAGAAAGAAGAAAAATGGCTTGGAATAGGAGTGTACAATACAGAAAATCAGGAGTTTCAGAAATAACGTGGAATTTAACCCTGCATAAAATAACGACTTTAGCCATTTCTTCGATGGGCACCATTATTAACCTTGTAGCTATTTTTGTGATAGTCAAAGGGGGACTTCATCGTCAGAGAGCATTCACATTTGTGTTGAATTTGTTTATTGGGAACTTACTGATGTGTTCTGTTGCTTTTCCCTTGTATAGTACACCAGCCTTTTCCCCTGTCCCTCAAGATGACATAAACTGTCCTTTTTCTGGATATATCCTTTTCACTTTAACAGGATCAACGTTATTGAATTTAGTATTAATTGCAATAAACCGTTATGTACTTATAGTGCGCTTTACTTACTATGAAACAATTTATAGAACACGAAACACGAGGATAATCCTAGCAGTAGCTTGGCTTTTTTACCCAATAATATATAGTCTTCCACTGAGTGAATTGTGGGGAAAATTCCAATTCGACCAACGGAGACTGTTTTGTAGTCCATTGAAGACTGATGACGGATTTCCTTATTTTGTTCTCATCGTTTCATCTATAACTGCCTTTCCATCCCTAACGTTTTGTTACATAGAAATTGTTCGAAAAATTAGATCCAGTAACATAAGAGTAAATGACACACAGAGTGAAAATACTCAAAGACAGAAAAACGAAAGACAATTGCGTCGGTCAGTCTTAGTGACAATTTCAATCTTCTGTGGCCTGAACATACCTGTAATTGTTGTATCCATTGTGGATCCTAAAGTTGAAAAACTTGACCCACAGTTTCATTTCTTTTTTATCTATGTTGGAATGTTGGACTATATAGTCAACACTCTCATTTATTCTTTTTTGAATCAACAAATAAAATCATCTTTTCTGAATACATTCAGATGGATTTTAAAAACAAACAGAACTGAGCCTTCCAGAATTCGACATGCTGAAATACAAGAAATATCTTAAAATCAGATTGTTTTCTATCATTGAAAGGGACATTCGAAATATCATACTACTTTGTGCTTTCCGCAAAATCGAGAATTTTCCACGTTGTTCATGACGATGAAGTTTAATTAATTTACTTTATATTCTTTTGTATTAAATACATTGAATGTCTATTTCCATCTTCACCCATTCTGTTCTTGTTTCATATAAACTTAAGAAGTTTGACTTGGCCCTTTGTATATAAACTACAACAGAAAACTTTATATAGAGTGAAAATATAATAAAAATCCTGTCTCACGGTTGAAATAAATTCCATATTCAACTACAAAACATTGGATTTTCTGCTAATTACATTTTCTTTGATTTTCCCTTTGCCTCTGTCTTTTCGTCAAAGTTGAATGGTTGAGGTGTCATATCTAAGAAATTTTGAGATTGGAAAAAATTGTAAACATGGATTTCAGCAACATATTTGGAGAAACTTTGGCAGTTTAAGTCTCTGTCAGGATGGTTTATTTACTCTCTATTTTATAACAGGCAAGAGAGTATTTATACAACATTCTTCGTGTAGGGATGAAAAATCGAGAGTTTTGCCGCACTTCTAAAATTTTCTTACACTGTGACAGAATACCATTTAGATATTCTTTCACATTGTGTCAAATATGACTTTTATTCAATGAATTACAGTATTTTACTGTTGAAAATAAATACTTTTCATACTATGCGTAACCTTATTTAACTTCAATGTAGGTGCAAAGTTTAAGGAAAATTTATTTTCCAGGTAATTTTTAGGAAACGCCTACAAATACTCCACATTCACTAAAGGCTAGTATACTAGGACATTTCTATGTTAAGCTCTTAAAAGCCCATTTTTGAAATGCTACAGTTAACTTTGCTTAAATGTACATGTAATATGTGATGTTGTACATTATATGAAAGAAACATATATTTCTTCATTTTAATTTTCGAAAAGAGGCATCTCAAAGTGTCAAAAGGTTCCAAATTTTATAAAGTATCACAAAGATAATGATACTTAGAATTAATACCAAAAAAATCCTTTTGAGATTTTCATATCTCTATGTTAAAAGAACGAGGGCGCTTTTGATTGGCATTCGGCAGGAATCTGGGCGCACTTGAAAAGTGAAAAATTTATTGATCAGTCACACGAAATTTTAGCATTCTTTTGATCATTTGGGTCCCTGTGAAATCGGAAAGGGAAATATTTTCCAGAAATTGTATTTTGATTTGCTAAATAATAATCTGAAAATAGGCTAGATGATTCATTTGGTACAAAATGTCACATTTTTAAACACGTTTTTCTAAAAATTTGCTATCTCTGGGTCCTCTCTCCATGATTTTCAAATGTTATTTGTATGCATTCTAATTCAAAGAAACAAAAAATCATTTGTAAAAAATGGAGAAAAAACCCAGAGACCATAAAAAATGAACTTTTTCCCCAAAAGAATTCTAATGTGTAAATGCGGTGCTTCATTGTCGTTTTAAAAGCCAAGTTGAATGTGTAGCGATGATAGCTCAGTAATACGCGTTACCCGTCCAGTGCAATGGAGACGAAAATTTTTGGTTCGATCCTCATATGGAGCGTTAATATTTTTTTAATGCAAGCAAACAATTCTTTTGTCAGTTTAATTTTTTTGTACCGATTTATTTTAAAATGGATAAATTCTGGTTCTATTGCACCGAGAGCGAAAGCAATTCTTCCAACCTACTAATGCTTTAATATACACATGTACTTGTAATTGCATTTAACTATACCCTTATTATCTTGTAGGTGTTTATTATGATTATTTATATGAAACATTACTATGTTAAAGTTTGATTATTAAGATAAGCGGACCTAAATATTACAATTTGACTTGTTATTTCAAACTAAATCTAACATTTTCCTATGTGCGTAGCTATGTAAAGCCTGTCCAGCTGTGGTCAGCCGACCAAATCGTGGACATTTAAACTATAAATGTTTCGTACACATGATTCCTGCAGATCACACGCCAAACACGCCCATCTTCTTTCGAAAGTATATATATCGTATTTCTTCTTTTATATCAACTTTTATGACCTCTTGATACGCTTCAGTTTATCATGATGTCATAAAAACACAATGACGACGTGTAATACCCTTCAGCTAAAAACTCTTTTTTCTTCTTCATTTTATTTTATAAAAAAAATTATTTTTTAATTCATTTTAATTATATTAAAATATTTTCTTGAAAAATGAAAATACACTGTATTTCACAAAAATTTGCAAAATATTTCGCAATGAAAACCCAATTAGGTTGGCCACCTGAAAATATACATTACAGCTAAAATGATTATTCGAGTCTTGTGAGTCTTGATTTTTTTCATTGGATATATCAGTATTTTATTGTACCAAAAATTGGGTTTTTCTTATATATATATATATATATATATATATATATATATATATATATATATATATATATATATATATATATATATATATATATATATATCTATCTATATCTATATATATATATATATATATATATATATATATTCTTCCTGCAATAAATTTTGATCAGTATGTAGTCCATGGAGTATTATTAGATTCAAAGACCTGGTCTTCATTTTACTTCCATCCAAAATGAAATGCTATAAAACCTTAATTTCCAATGTCATATGTTGTAATGAAAACAATTAAGAAAGTTCTTTTCATTTACGGAAGATTCCCAGTGTTCAAAATACCTGTCACCATTTTCTTGAACAATACATGTTCTATCACGGAATGATTTGGACAAACCTCTCAGATATACTTCTTAATTTTAGCTATTGAGTGAAAGACAAAAACATTTTCGTCAAATAAGGAATACATGACATATAAATTATATCAGATAATTAAATACATGTTGTTTTAAAGGGACTAACAACTCATATTTCATTATTTGATGTATATGTAACTATTGTGCAGATGATTATGCAACGACTATTAACAGCGAATATGTTCTGAATGAATAATGTGTTACACTTAAATATATATATAAAGAGTGTGGCTCTTTCAATGCAGAGATGAAGATAAGGCTGGTTTGAGTGGTCGACAGGGAATTCTTACTCCTCCTAGGCACCTTATCCACCTTTAGAATTTCTAGGGGTCCGTGTTTTGTGTTCTGTTCACAGATTTGTAATGTTTGTAGTTTTTAGAGATCGATCACTGCTCGCTATCTTCACCTATTTCATTTAGGACAACACTGAATGATACTCCTATATAACAAGATGTCCAGTTATAGCCCATTTAGATAGCAAATACGATAAATAAAATGAAACAACACATTAGAGGCACGATTACTTGATCATGATCATTTTTAAATGATCATCAGATACAAAAACGCTTGATTTACATCTCATATATTTTAAAGACATAATGCTGCAATATCCACTTTTCCGACATACATGTATATCTTTGCAGAAACCCTAACATAAAAAATTGGATGTTTGAGATATTGGTTGAAATAAAATTGTGGGATCTCACCCGTTGATATAATTCATGTTGTCTCAAACGGATAAAAGAGCGATTTGCCTTATCCATACTCATTCAAAAGGAAATAAATATCCTTACCTACAACAGTGTTACATGCTACAGACGTATTATTGCTATTAATTATAATCAATACGAATTTAGCCATACACTTATATAAATTATTAATATGTTATGGGTAACAGGTGACCAAATCGATAAGCTAATTAGGTAGACCACGAAGATAATCCAACTGAATTGAAAAAAAAAATCAAGCAAAAACTCCAAAGCAATAAAAGAAAGATCAGTTCTATTAGAATGAACTTAACATTTTCAATCTCATTGAAGTCATTTCTTTTTTATTAGAATACCAGAGCACAATTCTTTGTTTTTTTAAAACTATATCAACCTTTAAGTTTCTACTGGATGCAAGGTTCCAAAGAATATCACAATGAAACAAAAAGATTAAACACATAATATATCACTTTTTAATTAGCAACTCTCCGGTCGATGAATGAAATATTGGGTATTGGATTACTTTAATAAGAACCCGGGAATAAAATAACATTTCTTTTTACAAAAATCATATTGCAAGAATGAACCCAGGTATAAAATTACTTTTTCCACAAAAAATCATACTGAAAGGATGTGATAAAACAATTTATCATTATACAAAGAATGAACGTCTGTCTTAATACATGCATCTCCTTTTATCAAAGAAAAAATATTAATTTGTCAATTTATGTTTAATACATACAAGAGGCCCAAGGGCCTTAACGGTCACCTGAGTATAATACAACAATTTAGAGGATCCCTAGAGTATAAAATGAACTGAAAGGTGAAACTTTGTTGCCCAAAAGCAAGAAAAATAGGGTAATCGGGATCAACAAAATAATTAGTTTAGTATTCATAAACAGTTCATAAATTAGGTTCAAATCTGTTCCCAATTGTTCACTATCACCATACAGTATATTAACAAACTATCTGTACTATTTAAATTCCTTGTGTAAATGTCTTACATTGGCATCTCTTGGTCTTTAATGAACATTTAATAAAACAAGTAATTTTTGTCTCATTTTTATTTATCTATTAATTACAAGTCTACCTGATCATTAGAACTATGAAAGTACTTTTTGTATTATACAATAAAAATTCTTGCATAATTCTCTTATTCTATTAACCTTTCAAATACTTTATTTACAGTGATTAATCATCAAAAGTAAATGGCAAAGGGGAATAACTCCTCTCAGTAGAATGCAAATTAATAGAGCCCAGGCAAGGACCAGAACACTTGACCAAATAGTCCAGATGTTCAAAAATCTGGTAAAAATACCCTCTCTTATTAAAACTTTTACTCTTTTTGCCTCTGATATGCCCAGGTGCAGAGAAGATTTTTAAAGAAATAATGCATTTTTACTACAGATTCACTATATTATCAATAGAGCCCCCCCCCCCCAAAGAAATACCAGAGCCTCTGACCATGGGACCAGAAGTTTGCTCATCATAAGTTATCACTTTGTTTATCTGCTTAACACTAAGGAGCAGACAGGATTATTTAATAGAATTAATGCATTTTCACTATATTATCAAGAGCCCCACCCTTAAACCAGCACATCTGAACCAGGGGTCATGCAATTCACTACTCTGGAAAAAGCACTCTTGCTCATCATAACTATACACTTAGCTTCTTTGCTTTTTAACCAGAAGCAGAAAAGAATATTTTAAAAGAAATATTCCTTTTTCACTATATAATCAATAGAGCCCCCCCCCCTCTTTTCACCAGAACCCTTGACCCTGGGGCCATGAAATTCACAATTTTGGAAGAGGTATCCTTGCGTATCATAACAATGTACATAGTTCGTTTAAAAAATACCCAGGGGCAGAGAAGAAGATTTTCAAAGAAATAATTCACCTTTACTATAGGATCTATATAGCCCCGCCCTAGCACCAGAATCCCTGTCCCTGGGGCCTTGAATTTCACAATTTTGGAAGAGGCATCCTTGCTTATCATAACTATATACTTAGTTTGTTTAAATAATACCCAGGAGCAGAAAAAGAAGAATTAATGTATTTTCACTATATAATAAATAGAGCCCCGTCCTAGCAACAGAACCCCTGACCCTGGGGCCATGAAATTCACAATTTTGGTAGAGTCACTCTTGCTTATCATAACTATGTATTTAATTTGTTTCAATAATACCCAGGAGCAGAGAAGAAGATTTTCAAAGAAATAATGCACTTTCACTATATGATCTATATAGCCCCGCCCTAGCACCAGAACCCCTGACCCTGGGGCCATGAATTTCATAATTTTGGTAGAGTCACTCTTGCTTATCATAACTATGTATTCGATTTGTTTCAATAATACCCAGGAGTAGAGAAGAAGATTTTCAAAGAAATAATGCACTTTCACTATATGATCTATATAGCCCCACCCTAGCACCAGAACCCCTGACCCTGGGGCCATGAATTTCACAATTTTGGTAGAGGGCTTAATGCTTATTACAATCATGCCAACAGTTTGACTGCTTGATGTCCAGGAGTAAAGAAGAAGATTTTTAAAGATTGCATTAATTTTGGTGGTTTTAGCCCCACCCCTCAGGCCCCAGGGGGGCAGGGACCATGAAATTCATAATTTTTGTTCCCCTTCACCCATAGATGCTAAATGCCAAAATTGGTTGAAATTGGTTGAGCGGTTTCAGAGAAGAAGCTGAAAATGTTCAAATGTTAACGCACGACGCACGATGGACGACGGACGACGCACGACGCACGCCGACGGACAAAAACGGATAGCAATAGGTCACCTGAGTGACTCAGGTGACCTAAAAAGTGAACATATACATTATGTGTGGATCCACTAAACATGTATTGATACATATTGAGCAAATTCACGTTTCTTTGGGAATATGAAATGTAATTTACATGTTCCTCTGTTAAGCATAATGGATACTGTCATTTTTTTTCTGCATCCTTTACACTGGATTGATAGTCACAAAAGAAAAAAAATACATAAATTATTTCAACTCGTTTAAAAAACATAACTCATGTAATATTGTTATACCATAAATAAAAGAAAAAGTACTGCAATCAAATATTTCTAAAATCGTTGAATTGTTCATTAAACTTAAATAAATTATATATACAAATCCCTTTTCACTGGAATATCAGTTAAAATAATTAAACAACAAGATAAAGTGTTCTGTTATGTTGTATCACCACTCAGTCTGGAACTATATCTCATATTGTGCACTCTATGGTCCCTGAACAAAAACAAAGACTAAAGTAAAAACTTTCTATATACATTCCTCATATTCGATTAGAATATATCAAACTAAAAGGAACCTTCATTTTCGATTAAATTATAATAGTGCAACTATATGATTATGTTCATCACACTGAATTCGGCGAAGTTTCACTTCACATTTAGGTGTTAAATGTTTATGAAATAAAAAATATTATTAAACCTTACTAGTTCTTCTAATTACCTTATGACCTCGACTTTGTCGATGGCCCACTGATCATAACCTTTGTTACGATGGACCGGCTGCCACCATCGGAATTGTACGCCTTCGTATTTAGCGTCATCTGGTATATCGTAGGCTGCTCTTTTTGGCAATAAATATTCTTCAGCGTCATGGCGTGATAATAACTTCCATTCGGCTCCCTAAAACAAGTACTCGCGCTGTTTTTAATCCAATTTATGAGTAAGAATTTGTTAAAGATGCTATAGTGATGATAAACATTAATGAGATAAGAAAAATCTATGAAAATTAGTAGCTTCATTATAATTTTATTCCATTGCAAAAGAGGGAATTTGAATACCCTATTAAGAGTGTATTGAAGTAAAACGCCACTGTATGATCCATTCCTTCCAGATTGGATATTACAGGTTTCTGTCTGAGCTGGACATCCGATTTGAAGAACGAACATTATTTTTCTGCAGATGCATACAGCAATGTTAGAAACATATACTTAAGGCTATTTCATATGAAAGTACACTTCTTTTTCTAGTGAAAAGTGAGGTGAGGAATGATGATAAACATGTAGGTATCCAAAAACATAACTGTATTACATATTTACCAATAAGAGACTAAATCATTATTTTGATGTATTCAATGAACATGATTTTATATGCATTCATCAAATATCTTTTTACCTAGCTTTTCTCAGATCCATCTCTACTGTTTTTGCCTCTCGATGTCCACATCCGTTAAAATATAATGTTTTGCCATGAGCAAATGGACGTAGGGCCCCACAGCCAAAACCTATCCCACCTCCAGTAATGGATTCCCAATAAAATGAGAAAATGCCTCCTTCAAAGGAGTCATACATTGTGTTTATCAAACTGCCTGGACGAGGAAGACAAGATTTTCCTAAAAGAAATAAAGATCTCCCTGTAGCACTTTCTACTCCATGTTGAAATCATAATATTTTTTGCAGAAATAATGAATGAACAGATGTATTTTGATCATTGTACTAAAAGCATCACATGTGATATACCCCTAGGAAAAATAACAGTGCATGAATGCATAATTTGATTATTAGAAATCTAGTTTAATAACATTTACCAAAGTATCCCCTTTCACAGAAACATTTTCCATTCACACAAGTTCCCCTGGAATGACACAAATCTGGACATGTCTCTCCTACATAGATATCATCAAGTGCCCAAGACGTTCCGATTAAAGAGCTGGCATCCTGTATCCATCGGAAGCGAGTATAACTAGATAAATGTGGAATAATATACATATTTGGCACTGATTTATCAGTCTCATTAGCAATACTCTGAATCAGTTGTGATTGCGGTGATATTCTGAAAAAAGAAATACCTGGAAAATGTTTTCTCAGTCAGAGGAATGGTAACAAGTGTCCATGAATGATATGTATCGTGAGTATAGATAGAAGCCGAGTGATAGTGTCGGGGCTGACATTCTGACAATTGAGCATGGTCTGGCAGACAGAGTGGACGCACCAGGTCCCAGTGGTCACTTCTTGGATCCTTGTTGTATTTCAAACGTAATGGAGCATAATTATCGCACGAATCATATATGTCATCACATCCTACTGAAATCTGTTAAAATGTTTGAAAATGACGATTTTAGATAAATAGAAGAAACACAAAAGGATACAAAAGCACAGATGTTTGTTGCAAACTAAGATAAACCCCTAAAATTTATCCAAACTACATGTATCTAGCATACCTTTTGGTTTTTATTTTGAAAATTTCAGTCAAAATATTTTTTTGTAAAAGGCACATTAAACCTAGATCGCTTATGTTCTGATTCAGTTGTTACAAAAATGGCGATGGCGTTACTCTCACTAATAAAGGCATTATCAATTATTAATTACCTTGAATTGGAGCATAAACCCCTCTTGAACAATAAGTTGACTGGTTGTGAAACTTCTATTTCCTTTACCTTCCTCCCACACGATCGAACTGTCACCTTTTGTACACATGTTGTCTTTAATTTCTCCAAACAAATTAAATTCCCAAGGGGCATCACTTTGTATTGCCTCATCAAATGAAACCTGCATAAGGCTAGGATTGATTTCTTTTCCGCCTAAGCAAAATGATATTGTTTGTTAAATTTTCATGTACTTTATGGACAAATCAAGTTTTTATTTTCTTTAAGATTAACAGTTTCTTTTCTACTGGGTAAAAAACACAAATGTTTTTTGGAACCTTGCATATAGACTGGAAAACTAAATCATATTGATGAAGCGTATAAGTTCAATGATCTTTCTTCTTCTCGATGTTAGCTTTTGCATAAATATTTAAATTGTCTTTAAGATTTACTTTATCAATTTTAAAAATATGTATTTAGTTCCTTTTCGTATTCTATAAAGAATGTGAATAAATCAAACTTTTAACACTACGAATTCCTTTTGTTATCATAAATATTGTATTATTTTTATATACAGGAAGTATTGTGAACCTGAGTTTTTCAGACTCACAGTTTAAAATACTGATAGGGCATGCAAGTCTGTATATTTGCCAGAATACGAAAACAGGTAGGTAATTATCATAACAAACCTATAAGGATGTTGTCAATAGCCCATTGTGGTCCTGTTTGTTCCCATTGTCTGTTTAGCGGTTGCCACCATCTCAGTCTCGTATTCTTTGTTCTAGCAGGCTGTGGTAATATAATGTATTCCTGCTTGGGACGTTTGTATGTGGTGTAATCCATTACATGCAGATCTTCCCATGTCAATCCTACAAGAGAAATATGATTATCTTTGTACAATTGGATAAGATGGGTGTCCAGTTATGAATTATAATTGAGATACACTTAGTATAATGTTCATTTGATAGCATATAAAAATTTACAAATGGACCCTGAACTTATATTTGTATTGGAAGGTCCTAGACGACCATCAAAGTAATGACTATATATCTCAAATCACTTTTTTATGTAAATCAACCAGATACCAAACTATTTATCCTAACATATTCCTCATTGCATGGTTCATAAAATATATGCCAGCTAATTTTTACCCTTTCAGAACACAAATGATTTATGACGTACCACCATTGTTGCTATACTGTAGAATGACACTCTGTTCATGAGATTGGGGAGAGAAGCAGGTAAGATCAACGTCTATCCCTCCTATTGATGCAACAAACTGTACAAATCTAAAATTTGAAAAAGATTGTTACATTTATTTAACAACCCTTGTATTTAGATTCAAAGTATTCTCCACTCTCACCTTTCTCTTCTTCTTTTAATCAGACCTTACCTTGTGTTTCTAAGGTCCAGATCGATGGTGACTAGTTGCCTGTAGTTGGGCCCTTTGAAGACTGCTGCTGATCCTTCTACAAGATTTTCACAGGGTTTTCCTATTTCTCCTCCCTCAACCAACGACCACTTTGATTTATCAAATATACTGTCTTCAAAATTGGCCTTTAAGTATGTCTATAAAAATAATATATGAATAACTATGTGAATATAGAATATCGATTTTTAAAATAAAATTTAAAGTACCCCCAAAGATAGATATGATTTTCGCCCAAGGATGGCAACTTTAATAATTATGAACTTTTGAGGATTACAAATGTGATCATTCAGAGAGAACTAATTTTCTTAAAGATATACTAATAAGAGACTTGTTACACGGTTATTTATATATCACTTCAAATTGCTGAATTTGATCGGGAGCTGACTTACAGGGTTATCAATTCTATCATATTTGCAATTTGATCCCGAATAACCAGTATCACAGGTACAGAACGGGTACTGACAACGTCCATGTCCGTTACAGTAATCATCACATCCCTCACCAATGTAAACATTACGTATTCCCCAGTGATGGGAAGGTCCGTAATTGCCGTCTGCGTTTTGGATCCACCTGAATCTTGTTGAGCTACACATAATGAAAGGTGTGATAAAATTCACTTGCTTCTCTAAAACTGCACACTAAGACAACAAAAGGGCAGAACTTTCTGCGGTATTTAAAATGTGTTAAAATATACATTGTAGTTACATGATTATCTTTATTGCCATGAAATTAATTTTCTCCACACATTTATCTTACTTTGAAACAGGTAGACCTTTCAAAATATATGAATATCTTCTCCACATTCCCATGGGCTCACTATGATAAACACTTCCCATCTGAGGTCCACTGTTACATTGTGGATCCTTGGGTAGACACTGTGGAAAGAGATGAGACCACGTGACTCCGTGGTCTGTAGAATACTCAAGGTGCACTGGTGGGCTCGATTGATTAACCTTTTGTTCACAGCCCACATTTAGTTCAAACTGGATGAGGTATTCATTCTTAATGCTTATTTCTCTCGTCTCTAATACTGAATTCTCTTTTGTTTGAGTTGTACCCTGCGCAACGTTAGGTTCATTACAATAAATTGAATTGGATGCCATATTATCATCACTCATCCAGTCTTTGTAATTGAATGTTCCTCCGAAATCTGATGTAAAATCTTCTGGGTTGATATCTTCTCCTCCTATTCTGATATTGTCTATAGACCAGTCACCGACTGGAAATCCTCCATGTTTGGGCTGCCACCAACGGAGTCTGACTCCATTACTTTTTGCTTTGTCTGGTATTTTAACGCTTAGATATCTGTATCAAATATAAAATTCATTTTGAGCATGTAATCAAGTTGCAGGAATTCTTTTTTGTAATGTGCAGATTCATTAAATGTTTTGTATTACGAGTTCACATACTTTGGTGTCCTGTACAGTGTATAATAAAGCTCAGTGATCGGCATCCATGTTATTCCGCCATCCGCGGAGTAATCCAATAGCACGCCTTGGTTACGTGTCATGGGACCGGCAGTGCATCCAAACAGGAACAGGAACTGAACAAACAACGCGTGCCTCAGATCAAGGTCTCGTGAGACTAAAACACGACTACAACGCTAGAAAAATAAATCAAACGAAAGTTAAAGGCATACGTCTGATATATCTTTTTAGAAAGTTGTATTTTATAAAAATAAAATATTTAGATTTACTTTACTTTATTGAAAAAGACCAACGAAGAAATTCGAATAATACATGAATACAGATCTTTCAATCCTTGGATATTAGTAGAAAAAAATAATAGACAATAATATAAGACTGAGGGAAAAAATTAAAAATGCGAGGAAAATTGCTTTTAAAAATGCACTGAACCAAGAATCTTAGACAATGATCATTATTTCCCTGAATAAAATCGTATACCTGTATTTAATGTAGTGGATAATCAAAACAACATGTGAAATTTTGTGAATATTTTGATTCGAAAAACATTTAAAACGTACTCCAGAAAAGTGCAAGGCATTGCCAGCAGCCATAACTTTACACGGAGGAACGGTTTGAGCCCCAACAATTTTAATCCATTGGGATTCGTTCACATCAGGGTCAAAAGAGTCGAACAGAAAGGTTGGAAGTCGGAACAAAGGCTCACTACAGTTCAACCCATGCCAACCATCATCACAACTAAAAACCACAATGTGATATGTTACTTGTAAATTGAACTATATATAACACGGGTTGTAAAACATATCATAGTGATATTCTAAATCTGTGGATTGTTTCAATAAACTTCAATAAGAAGATCACATAGACTTTTTGAAGTTTATTCACGAGTGAATTAACAAGATTGTCTTTCTGTAAAAATAAAAGTTCACTTCAATTACAATGATTAATTTGAATACTAATAGTTTACCAGTAATAGTAAATAGAACACGTCAATTGTGTCTCCTGAAAAAAATGAATTGCTACTGGTAGGAGAGAATAAAGCCAGGTAATAAACATACGTTATATACAGCATGCATTAGTTTCGTACTTACATGCAACCCGTTTCTGAACACTTCCCATGACCATTGCACATAAGGGGACAGCCTTTGCCTATATATAAATGTGATACTGCCCAATTCTGTTTCTTCCCATATCCAGGTGGTTGTATCCATCTGAATCGTATGGCTTTACCCCTGTTTATAAGATCATAATAGATATTTTAATTTAACTATGAAATATATGGAGATAACGAACAGTATTCAAGCTCAAAAGTCCATTAATCGATACAAAATAGGAGCAGAGCAAACACGGACCTCCAAACATCAGAGGTGGGATCAGGTGCCATGGAGGAGTGAGCATCCCCTGCCGACCTGCCGACCGGTCACACCCGCCGTGTGCTCCTTGTCATGATCGGGAAATAACGGAAAAATCCGTCGACAATTCAGTGTGTAAATAATGGCCTAACAATTAGTGTGAAAAACGTCAGTCAGCATTTGACTCAATGATAAATTGTATTTGCTGACAAAGTCATTGTATCGACCATAGAACATGTTTCATCAACTTATTTGTCAGTAATTTACCTCGTTTTAGAAATTGTACATACATAGAGCATGCTCTTGCGTATCGAATCAACTGAGAGATATATACCCCGTATGCAGGTGATGAAGGTATATTGCTGCATAAGTAAGGGAAGTTGACGATTGAAAAGTTAAAGTCATCACGTTTATCATAAAGCTTGGTTGTTAGATTACAATTAACGTCATTTTCAAGTAAAATATCCAAATATGAAACAGATGTGTCAGACTCTGTGGTATCTTTTATCTCAAGTTCACAAGGATATATCGTATCGACATAAGAATGGAAATAGCCATTGTTAATTGACAATACGTCGTCGATATATTTAAATGTCGAGTTGAAGGCCACGTCAAGTGTTTTCACGTACAAGATTTTGGACAAATTCTGCTTCATATGAATACAAAAAAAGGTCTGCTAATAACGAAGCGCAATTGGTACCCATAGGAATTCCAATAGATTGTTGGAAGATCTGGTCTCCGAAAACTACATAGATATTGTCAATCAGAAACTCAAGCATCTTTTTAATGTCAACTATCTTTCTTCTGAAAAAAAAATTAAAATTACTCTTTTGGAGTACTAAGAAAGAAACTCGCCTAGAATAGTACGGAAGTGGTAATGTAACACGGTGCCATCCTGTATTAACATCAGACACGAGGGTGCTACCTGGATTAAATCGACCACAGTCGACATCCGACGGCAAACAGGGTGGCTCAAGCAGTTCCCACGTGTTACCAAAGTCTCGAGAAAACTCTATTCCAATGTCTAAAATTATTTGAAACAAGGCCTTCAAAATTATTCTAGAATATTTTTTTGAAAGTTAAAAATTTGTTTCACGTTTGTTTCTTTTTTTTAATGAAAAAAAAACCCACATACTAAAGCATTCTTGATTTGGAATGCATCCCATTGCAACTTCAAATTGTAAAAACGATGTTCCATCAACAATGACGTCACTAGACATGGCATACCTTATCCCTGTATCGCCTGATATAAAAATAAAACATGAGTGATTATTAAATAATTACTTTAGCTAAACATTTAACCTAAAAAAATTATATAGAAAACTAGACAATAAATGACCAAGTATATACCATTGAAATGGATTGCCTTCTGTGATGAGCCACACACTTCTTCAATGGCGGCTCCAGGATAAACCAACCAGCTTGTTTCTTTTGGCAAATGAATGCCGTCTCCTAAGGGTGTAATGCCATCCATATCACCACCAATGAATATCTATTATTGGGAAGATATATGACATACCAGTCAAATAACACTGTTTGATGTGAAACGGATTTATGTTTGGAAACCGAGCATTTAAACTCAGCAGCGTCTTTATTTGAAATAACTCAATATAATCTTTCAATACACCTGGTATAATTCGTCATGTTTACAGCTTCAACAAGTCATCTATAATTATCTTATCCATAAATGGTGACCTAAAATATAGCTTACAGAAAATAAGTAATCTTGAGAGGCTACTATATATGTTTTTGACCTGATCGATCGCCCACTCCTCTGGAAAAGTACCATTCACAGAAGGCTGCCACCATCTTACTCTCGTGGAGTTGGTCCGTGCCTCGGGAGGTAGATGAAGAGCTATATATTTAGGTCTGTTACTATTTTTATTGAAATCAAACTGTTCAATAGATTTCCAATTAACACCTGCATTTGTACTGTACTGTAGATAAACTGGAAAGGATGAGGTGTCAGGTGGTTTACTCTCACACCCAAGTTGAATGAAGAATTGAATAATGCTGAAAAGGATTTCAAACATTAATGTCCACATTATGTAGACTCTTTTGTAATAAACTCATCAAGAAGTTACACATGAATGTTACAAAACGTTTCCATATGATATGATTTTTTTCAGTAAATTACTTAAATCGTTCTCTCTCACCTTACTTTACTTAAGTCCAGATCTGCAGTAACGAGAGTTCTCTCCCCCTTATCCTTGAAATGCAACGCCTCTCCTGATATCAACTCCCCACACTCACGTGAGATTTCACCCCCACTCTGAATCCACCATTTTGTTTCGTTCAAGTCTTTCTCTTGTTACAAACAGAATTGAATTAAAGCTAATGTACCATTTGCTGATAATAACAAACACTATAATTGCATAACCATTATTTTAAAAAATGAAAATAAGATTTAGTCTCTCGAAACAAACAGAGCAAAAAATAATTTTTTTTATCTATCTTCATAATTCAGTGTATAAGAATTGTAATATGTTGACGGTGTGACCGTTAGAGGGAGCGCAGATATTCAGTTTTAATATTCACATCCGTCTCTTCAAACCACACGTGACAATTGGTACGTCTAGACTCTGACGTCACATGACGTCGTATGTAAGTTGCATTACCAAATCAAAGCCTGAACAGTGCTAGTTTTAAAAAAGAATGTTTGATCTACTGTTTTTTTTCTGCAAAATCAATCAATGTGATTTTTTGTTGTTGTTGTTGTTGGACTTTCGTTGCTACCGCGAGAACGTAGTTTGCGGCGAGATGCAATTCGCAAAGCATTACGGCACAACAGGTTACTTCGGAAAAAAATTTGTTTGGATCAATGTGCAAAGTCCGAATTTTCTCTTCGCCCAGGCGTTGCTTTAAGAGCTCGCAGTGACGAACGGCGCTTCGCGCCGCTCGCTGCGCTCGCTATAAGAGAAACATTCAAGTACTTTCTTTATTAAATAGATAGTATGAATTATAATCTGTTATTATCGCTCCTTGGTTTGTATAATGCTGTAAAAAAGTACAAGTACCAAATATCAGTTGTCCGTTGACTGGAGTACCCCTGTCACTTTGTTCAAAATCTTCAGAAAGATGTGTTGGATGCCGAATGGCAGGAGTGCAACTTTCATCTTGGTAATTTTGGTCACATGAACACATCATAGTATCTGAGCATGATCCGTGACCTAGGCAATATTCCATGCAAGCCATGCCTATAAATACGTTGTCGATTGCCCATTCTGGTGCGTACTGATCATCAGCAACAAAACCTTGATACCATCTAAATCTCAAAGATCTGTTTGATAAATGATGTCAATTTTTCAGTCTTAAGTATTGTATAGAGTACCCTTTTGAAATATATCTAAATTATAAATTTTTAAAGAGATTGATTATGTTTAATTCACAAATTCTCTATCTCAATCAATTTTTTTAGACAAGTGATAATGAAAGCCAATATTCACTAACCCACAAATGTAAACATTATCCAATGGAACTATAACTCTTCTCCAGTATCTAGAGGTTCCACCATAGAAAATAGTGGCAGGGGTCTCCACATCGAAACACCAAGCAGAGGAGGTCAAGGCACAGTTGGGGACCAACGAATGCCAGGTTTTACCACCATTAGGAGAGTATTCTACTCGAACTGGATGATCATGAGTTGATTCAGACTCACATCCGACGTTAATCTGTCGGGAAAAAATTAGAATCCAAGAATAGCTCTAAAATTCAAGATGGTGCACAAAGAATAACACAAATTTGTCAATAAAATATATTTACATACTCTATATACAAGGTTGTAATTTGTATGTTTCTATTATGCTAAAAAGATTGATTTGATTTTTTTTTTATTCTTTCTTATCAGACGTTTACATTTCTTGAAAAGCAAAATTTTAACTTACATTAAATTGAAGAACAGACATTGGGCCGACATTTAGGTCTTTAGTCTCCACGTATCGCTCCCCGTGACCTCCATTAAGATTGAAGACCAATGCTGAGCGCCCAGAGCCCGTGGTATCCTGTCTGACCAACGCGAGACATCAATAAGAAGTTTAGCATAAAGCAGTATTAATACTATTCTTGGTAATTTTCAAATTTATTACTCTTGCACTGTGATTTCGATATCCTACTTTAAATACACTAAAGAACAGTGCATTATTAACATTCATTTCTATTTTCGTCTAAACCACGGCTGTAAGTTATTCATATAGGGTCTCAAAAATTTGTATGTAATACTAGTATATTTTTATCTTTGCTGTGGAATGAGTTTTCTTCCTTTACTTATTAAGAGGACGTAATCTAAAAATAAATTTGGCAAATATTATCGAAATATAATAAAGAATCCAATTATATATGTTTATCCATTCTGTGTAAGTTTACCTCTTACCTTGTATTGTGTTCGCAGTAACCTCCAACTTTGCCATCATTGATAAAGAGCCAGGAATCTGACAAGGTCGTCCATTCAAAGTCGTCAGACATAGAGCTTGGACTGACGGGCATCTTTCCAATGTAGAAGTTGTCTATTGACCATGTTGACTTCATATCCCCTGTAAAATTGAAATGTATCAAGCAAAATGTTTTCAAATTAAGAGAAATTTGGAACTTACGGAAACAGAAAATTTTGTATGGATATTCACCTTGATTTTCAGGTTGCCAGAAACGGAATCTAGTGGCTGCTGATTTAGCATCATCTGGCAAATTTATACTAAAAAACCTTGAAAAAAAGATGCATGTTGATTATCAGTTGATCATGATTTACACAATCATTTAAAAATTTGCATGCACTACAGCTGCATAGCCAAGCAATGAACCTAAGTTCCCTTAAATTCTAAATATACCCACCTAACCTTGCTGGTATCTGAGTAATGGATCTCCTTAAGAAGATTCCAGACTATTCCACCATTTCTTGAGTACTGGAAAAGAACACTCTCAGACCTCGGCCAGTCTGTCTCTCGGTCAGTACATCCGTACTTGAAGTAGAATTCAGCGCCTGTCAGCATACTAGTATCAATATCGTCACTTACGACCATCCGAAGGTGATTCTGTAAATCAACATTTAATTATTATATAATCTATGCCATATAAGTGGAAATGCATTTCAAAAACTCACAATCCTCTTTGGTATGTACCTTGTGGAACAACATGGAATTCCCACTGACGATTACTCCACACATCGATGACTGTTCTCCACCGTACACCTCCTTCCACTTGCGGTTGTTTATTACATCTCCATCAAAACCATCACGGAGCATCATCGGAAGTGGTTGTAATGGGTCGCAGTGAGGACCACCGAAACCTTGGTCACAGCTGAATATTATATTCAGAATTATAAGAGCAGTAGTATAATGTGGTGTGATACCAATAAAATCTTATAACAAAATTTTGAAAATGTTAATTTTTATTACATGCAAGTCCCTTGTCGACAGTAACCATGACCAGAACACAGCCACGGGCAACCGTTGCCAAGATAAACATTGTCAAGCGCCCAAACATTTCCACGTGGTGTTTTATTTTGTTGCTTCCATCTTAGTCTAGTTGCTGGAGATCTATAAATTGAATTTAAAGAACATCCTTGAAAGATAGAAGTTTCACATAGTTCATTTTGTCTAATGAAAATGTTGCAATTAATGAAAGTTTGGCTTATCCCCCTTCTTTGACGGTATATTCAATCAAAACATGCAACAAGAAACTATTACTTGATAAAAAAAGAGAGAAAGACACAACGAAATCCTTTAAATAAAATAAGATCTAAAAATGATCATACACAGCGCCAGGTGGCATGTACAACGTAACCCTTGTCCAGTTTTTATGTTGGTCTGACATATATTCACTGCTAAGATGGTATCCACTACATTGGAAATTGGGTGGGGCACATTGATGAACAACGGGGTGCCATGTTTGACCCATATCCACCGAGTATTCAAGCATTACTCCATAAAGAGTACCATATAAAGAATCACAAGCCATGGCGATATCAAACTGAAGAAAAGTGGACGGAGTGATTCGAAAATCCATCGTTTCGGCAAATCTTAAGTCTGAATGCAAAAAGGAAAAATATTCTTCCAAAGGAGTAAGCCCATAAAAAGACTGAGTTAAAATATTTTGTCTATACTAGAAATAATATCTTTAAGTTTACTAATCAATCGGAAAGAGATCTGGTTGTGGGTTGTCTGGAAATGACAAACATATAGAAGTGTGGCGATACAGAAATTATGGAAGCCGTATACAGTTCAGAAAATATTGATTTTTTTCAGTCATTATTTATATTTAACATAAAGATTATACATATGGCTTAATTTCAGTAGCCAATAGAAATTCCATTTCTTAGTCCTCTTACCCTTATCCCTACTGAACTCCAGAGCGTTTCCTCTAGAGTTACAGGTAATCCTTGGAACAGCGCTCTCGGTCAGCAGCCAGTTCTCTGGATTGGGAACCATCATAGCAAAGTCATCTTGAAACGTCTCCTTGTTCGTCTCATTCACTCCAATAATCACACTATCTAATCCCCATTCTGCTCGGGGCACTCCTTTAATCAAAAAGACTTTCATATTGTACTTGTATCTTACAAGATTACAGCAATTATCAAAACTCAAACTAGACTAGTCTTATAAAGGAGAAAGACACTCCAATAATCATGCTATCCAATCCCAATTCTGCTCAGGGTACTCCTTCAATCAATAAGACTTTCAAAGGTGTTTGTATACTACAAAACAACAACAATTATCAAAACTGAAACTACACCAGTCTTCTAAATGAGAAAGACCCTTACGTGGGGCTATAAAATATATGCACACATGTTTGTAAATTACAATAAAAATAAAAAATGCACCGTAAATTCGTCCCCATTTCATAATTCAACGACAGACTCAACATTAATAGTAGTGTTTCTAACAAAATAAGTCCTTTGCCTTTTTTATGGAACAGTAAGTTACTGAAAATACTAACCTCCATAGCCAAGAGGTTGCCACCATCTGAATATAGTTCTTTCTGTCTTGGCATCCTGTGGTAACTCCATGGTAACTCTCTCCGTGGTATAATTATGAACCCTTGGCTCAACTATTTTAAGAACATGCCATGTAACCTCGTTATCGGTGGAATAATCAACAATCACGCCCTCATTTCTGCCAACAGGGAAAATGCAAGACAAAGCATGGCCGTTCCCGCCAATTTTTACTACGAATTGAAGCATCCTGTATAAAAAACACTTTGATAAACTAAAAATGTTTATATATTCTTTTTACATTAAAAATGATCAATAAAAACAACTTTGCCAAAAATACTTCCTTAGATTTATTTCTTTTAAAAATCAATTTCACATTCAAAATGAAGCAGATACCGAAGATATGTTGTATTCAATGGTACTGTGACAGCTTCCCTTGTTCCATCACCACTAAAGTGCAAGGAATTCCCATAATCCACCACACCACATCCTATACCCAACTTTCCTCCTATAATTCTCTTCCAAATGTCTGAAGGCTTATGATGATTATCAAACCAATCAGACATACCGTACGGGCTTTTCCCTTCAAAGCTACAATCTTGACCTACGACAGCAGAATCATTGGATAAATCGAATGCGATAAAGAAAAGAACGCAAATAAAACCAAAAAATGAAAGACTTTCAAGTTATCATTTAAAATTTATTCTGACAAACTTGATTGTTGAAAGTCGAAGGAAAATAATAATTATTTGAAATTAACTTTGATAAGTGTTATTAGAAAAACATTTAAACTTGAATACTTTGTAAGCAGGCAATTAACAGGCCTTTAGCTACGTACAAGTAACTGTTGAATAAAGGAAGTGTTTACCTTTAAAACCATCATCGCATACACAGCCACTTTGTTCGCAGACACCATTTCTGTGACAGTTCTTCTTACAAGGTGGTCCCACGTAAACATCATCAAGAGCAAAGTTAAATGGATATCCGCCCTGCTGCCACCATCTCAACATTACTGGGCTTTAACAAAGTCTTAATTACAAATTTCTGATGATTCAATGTATTTTTTAAGCAGTTGCTATTTGATTCCTTTTACAGGAGCATACAGTTCTATGCATGACTATTAAACACAATTTCAATGATCAAACATACATGAACTTTTTAATTATAACAGATTACATAGAACATAAAATTCTAAACTGGTCACTTTAATAATCTTTTTTTTTTCATATGAATAAAGAAATTGTAAACATACTGCATGGCTAACTCCTGTGTGACGGGTATAATCACGGTTTGCCAGTAACCATGTGGACCAGAGTAGTACATAGTTCCCTCCGTGTACCTTCCGTCACAATCATTTTCCTGGTAGCAAGGGTCCTCTAATAACCGCCATGTTTGACCGCCATCATGGCTGTAGTCCAACATAACTGTGTGGTCCCAACGGAACTGGTTACTACAACCAACGTTGATCTGCAAATGCGTCAAAAAACATTGAATGCATACACCAGTGAACAAGGATCTGAATATGTATCGTGTGTTATATTATAAAATAACTGCCATGTATGTATTAAATATACATGTAGTTTTACCATAATGGAAAATTTCCTTTAATTTTTACCACAGTGATATTTTCAGTAAAATTTCATTTAAATACACAAGAAAGATGCATCTATTTTGTTGTGTTTACCATAGTGAAAATGCAATAGTAAATGATCTTCTCTTCAATCAAAATTGATCTTATGGACTTGATTGAATGTTTGATTGTATGTTGTTTAACGTCCCATTCGAGACTTTTCACTCATATAGAGACGTCACTGTATGCAGGTGAAGGGCTTCAAATTTAAACGGCTATTGAGCAGTGAGAGTTTTTATCGTGCCAACACCTGCCGTGACAAAGGACCTCCGTTTTTAAGGTCTCATCCGAAAGACACGTGACTTTCACCTCTAGTGCTGGGCGCTTGGAGAAGGAACAGTCACTACCTATATTAACGTCTTAGGTTTGACGCGGCGCAGCGAACGAGAATCGAACCTCCCGATCACGAAGCGAACGCCCTATCATTAGGCTACCGTGACCGTTCCTTTATGGATTCGAGATAATAAACCCAGGGATATTTCCAATTGTTTACTGATGCATTTTTCTAATAATATTGCATGTATTTTAATTATAGAAATTTTGATTGATTGCTTTTCGTTTAAAGTCCCTTGCAACATTATTTCACTCATATGAAACGTCACCAGATAGCGGTGAAGGGTTTCAAATTCAGATCTTTACTTTGCACTCAGAGCCATTGGGCAATAAAGGTCTTTACGCGTGCCAATGTATACCGTTGCACTGGGTCTCGGTTTGTAAAGTTTCATTCTGAAGACTCGCTTCAAAGTGCGGAGCGTTTTGCAAAGGAACAGTTGCTGGTTATTTTTATCGACTTGCATGTAGGTTTGTCGCAGTTGAGCCGCAATTCTACGACCTATCGGTATGGTACGAGGGCTCTATTGACTAGACTACTGTAATGGTATCTTAGAATTGAAAAAAAAATTTGTAATTTGACATTTTAAAACACTATCATCAGTAAAGTATAAGACATATGTTTGAATTCTCCATTACGACAAATGACTGTAACGTTTAAATAATATTGTAAATGTAAACACAAACCCTAAACTGTATAATGTCACCAGCTTCTAGGTCCAGATCCTTAGTGATGACGAATTTGTCATTCTGCTGGTTAGCCAAAATCAGAGCCCTATTCCGATTTTGGCAATATTTACCCAGAATACCTTCAGTTATAGTGGACCAAACACCTTTATCTATTGCATTCAACTGCATCTAAAAAAAAGAAATACAGTATTCAAATTAAAAAACTGAATTTCTCCTGTACTAAACTACCTAAACATCTTGTCTATGAAATGAAAGCATGTCTGAACACAAAAATCATCAAAATACTAAATTTAATTCCTTGTTTTAGGGTTGACTAATTAAGCAACATCAAAGTATTAAAGTTTTCATGTTATGCAAAATCTGAACATACGTTAAAATTATCTTCAATTATCCTCCGGTTCTCATAGTGCCCCACACGTATCTCGTCCAAGGCCCACTGATCTGCTCCTCCACCGGAATGGGAGGGCTGCCACCATCTAAACCGGGTCAGTGGAGAGCGGGCGTCTTCAGGTAACACTGCATGTACAAATCTGTTGAGAAGAAACTTCACTTCTGTGCACACAATTACATTATGACTTGTAATGAATATATAGAAGTGTAAACATTTACTTCAAATAAGACTTAATATTATGAAGTTTATGTTGAATATCAGCAAAGAAAAGCACAAAAGGCTTCCTAAATTACAAATTATATTACTGCAGTTTCCAGAAGTTAAATTACTTTGCTTTTCTGAACTTTTCTGTAGTCATTTCCTGGAGTAGTTTCCAAGTGGTTCCTCCGTCAGTAGAGTACTGGAGAACTACACCCTCCTCTGAGGTTTCTCCCCCGTTACAGTCTGGCAATCCACCTCCTATCCTCAGATAAAACTCTATATAATCTTCATTTTCCGTGTTCAGGTCCTTTGTCTGTGCTTCCCTTACGCCATTCTTTTCAAAAATTCAAAAAAAAAAACCCCAGAAATCATCAATACTGCGTTTACTATCTACATGTGTATTAATACTTCAGTTCATATAAAATGTGTTTCATAATATATAATTTGCAAAATTATCATAAATAATATTTACGCCTCTTAACATTATAGATAAAAAGATCAAGTTTTAGAAGTAATGCTTATTCACAGAAATATATATTAGGTTTAATTGACGTACACCAGAAAAATAGAGTGTTTCCCCGGACAGTAAGGTTCCGCAGCCTTTATCACCCCCAATAACTTCCCCACCTAAGATGTCTATGAAATCTGACTCGGGTTCATAACGAATTCCAAAGTCGGCTTGCATTGTTTCATCAATTCTTCTCCTAGGCTTGCATTTGGACCCAGAGTATCCTGAATCGCAACTGTAAAATATTGACACGTTTTTAACCAATTAGTGTAAATGCGAGACGTACAAATAAGCTGGGGGGTCTTTTTTAGGTCTTTTCACCTTTCTGTGGAAAGACCTATTGAAATTGTTCTGTTTATTATTAGGTCTTTCCACCTTTCTGTGGAAAGACCTCTTGAAATGCTTGTTTTTTTATTATTCTATTTCTCACCTTATGTTTTGAAACCGCAAGACTTATCGAAAAACTTTATAATTCATAATACTGGATATTAAAAGTTATTCCGAAAAACGACCCCCCATGTTTGAACTTTGACCCTTTACGCAGTTATTACCCCTTTCACCATAAAGCTTGTTATCGCTACTCCTTTGAAACCTTTAACCGTAGAGGTACGGAACCTTCACCAATGTCTTCGACTAATTGAGAGGACTCTTCAATCTTTTCATTATGAAACTATTCATTGACCCCTTCAATGGGTTACTGCCCCTGAAAGTTTTTGAAGTTTACAAATAATCAAAAAATTTCAAAACGATAAGTCGTAGAGACATGGAACCAACTGCATTAGATTTTATGACCTTTGACCTTGAAATTTATATGAAGGTCAAAGGTCAAGGTCATTCCATTTATGAAAAATATATTTCCTTCTATAGCTCTTTTGTCCTTAAAGATTTATTATCTATCGTTACATAATTAATATGTACTCTTAAAACTATTTACAATATTTCATTCTTGTCCCCTAAGTTTGACCCTTTTAAAAGTTATTGCCCCTTGTGCGAAAAACCTTGTTATCGCTACTTCTCTGAAACCATAAACCGCAGAGACAAGAAACCTTCACTAATGTCTTCGACTTATTGAGGGGACTCTTCAATCTTTTCATTGCGAAAGTATTTGTCGACCCCTTTTATGAGTTATTGCCCCTGAAAGTTTTTGATGTTTACAAATAATTAAAAATTTTCAAAACGATAAGTCATAGAGACATGGGACCAACTGCATAAGATTCATTGACCTTTGACCTTAAAATATATGCAAAGGTCAAAGGTCAAGGTCATTCCAAAAATGAGAGATTAAGCTCTTTTTACAGCTCTTTTGTCTTTCAACATATACTATCTGTCTTTGCATCCTTAATATGCACTCTTAAATCTATTTCAAAGATTTAAATCTTGTCCCCTAAGCTTGACCCCTTTGAAAGTTATTGCCCCTTGTGCGAAAAACCTTGTTATTGCTACTCCTCTGAAACCGTAGACACTAGAGACATCAAACCTTCACTAATGTCTTCAGGGTCTTTAGACACAACTTCAATCTATTCAGTGCGAAAGGATCCAATGACCCCTTATATGAGTTATCACCCTTTAACTTCTTTGTGTATACTATTAAACCTTATAACTTTTAAACTAAAAGTTGTAGAAACATGAGACCAATTGCAATGTGACTCTTGACTTTTGACCTTGAAGATCTGTTCAAGGTCAAAGGTCAAGGTCACTTAATTTTTTTTTTTTTTATAAATTTCATTTTTCTAAACTTTGAAACCATTTCTAGTTTCTTTTTTTTTTGAAATTAAATTATAAAAGGTAAATATGGGAAAAAAATTAAAGAAGGTGGAAAGACCTCTAATTGTTCTGTGAACAATTAGTGTACTAGTTATTATTATTATTATTATTATTATTATTTTTCCGCCGAATGGTTTTTTGTTTCAAAAGTTATCGAAAAGGTTTATGGTCCATAAGAATGTACTTCGTAAAAGATTTTTGCAGTTGACCCTGCGTACATGAACTTTGACCTCTTTAGGAGTTACAACCCCTTTTGCAATAAAACCTTGTTGTCGCTACTCCTTCAAAACCGTAAACTGTAGAGGTACAGAACCTTCACCAATGTCTTCGACTAATTGAGGGGACTCTCAATCTTTTCATTGCGAGAGTATTCGTCGACCCCTTTTATGAGTTATTGCCCCTGAAAGTTTTTGATGTTTACGAATAATTAAAAATTTTCAAAACAATAAGTCGTAGAGACATGGGACCAACTGCATAAGATTCATTGACCTTTGACCTTAAAATATATGAAAAGGTCAAAGGTCAAGGTCATTCAAAATGTGAGAAATTAAGCTCTTTTTATATCTCTTTTGTCTTTCAACATATACTAAATACCTTTGCATCTTTGATATGTCCTCTTAAAACTATTTCAAAGATTTCATACTTGTCCCCTAAAATTTACCCCTTTAAAAGAAATTGCCCCTTTTACTGAAAACCTTGTCATCGCTACTCCTCCAAAACTGTAAACCGTAGAGGCACAAAACCTTCACTAATGTCTTCAGGGTCTTTAGACACAACTTCAATCTATTCAGTGCGAAAGTATCTGATGACCCATAATATGAGTTATTGCCCTTTAACTTCTTTGCGCTTACTATTAAACCTTATAACTTTAAAACGAAAGGTCGTAGAAGCATGGGGTCCAGTGCAATGTGACCCTTGAACTTTGACCTTGAATATTTGTTCAAGGTCAAAGGTCAAGGTCATTTCAAAATTTTTCAAATTTTCATTTTTTTTATATTCCAATCCATTTATGGATTCTTTTTGTATAAAAATTAAATTTAGAGAGTAAAATATAAAAAAATATTTGGAATTTAAAGAAGGTGGAAAGACCTCTAATTGTTCGAGAACAATTAGTCTACTAGTTTAATTTTAATTTTTCAAGTTTCCTATTAGAAAGGTCCTTCCGTTTTTAAAAGCCATTTCTTATAAAATCAGATAAAATTATTCTCGATACCCACGTCACGAATAAATATCACTCATGATGCTTAATTATTAAATTCTAACTATAACATTAAGTCTTGATATAACTACCCGCTATTCGTCGTCAGGGGAGCCAATTAAATTCAAGATTAAAGCTATGGTGGTCATAGACGCGCTTTAGCGCAGCTTCACAGTCGAATAATTTTCTTAAATTGTACTTAATACTGGTAGATTTAACTCCAGCCCAGTTCAGAAAAAGAGAGGATCCTTTGGACCTTTCCATAAAAAATATTACGATTAAGACCCAAAAATGTCCCAATTTTCCAAAAGAAAGTATCCAAGCTTTAGTATGCCACAAAAAAATCCTATATTTCTATAACATTAGAATATATTGCTAATAATTCTTCGAAATTTTCAACCTCAGTTTCAAGATTTTTTTTTTATTTTAAATATTTATTTTCATTATTTTTTTTTCACTTCATCTTCATTTTACTGAAGTATATGTCTGGATAATTTACCTACATACGCCTTCTTCACACCTCCCATGACCGCTACAGTGTTGAGGACAATGCTGACCAACATATATTCTGGAGACTGCCCACGTGTCCAATGGACCCCAGTCGGACTGACGCAATCTCATGGTTACAACATGCCCCCTTACAAAATAATAAAATAAGCAATTATCCACAAACTTTACCTGAATCAGAAGTAGTAGTTACTTATCAATATGTAAAATATACAATTAAAAAAATACTATTTAATTGTATCATTATTTGTTGCTCACACTATGTTCATAACTTACATCTTGGAAGACAACTTAACTAATTGTATGCATAGTACATGTAAAATACATCAAACAAATATGCGTGACAAAATTAAAAATAACGATAAAGGATTTTAACGAAAAGGAAAGCTGATCTGGGTCTTTGCTCTAGATGAAAGTGATGTAAACAGCAGTTTCCTAAGATTTAATCAGCTACAGGATAACAATTTGTTTGATCATGGTTTCTGTCGATAAATATCAATAAACCAAATTAATTAGCTCGAAAAACGTGAAAATTAGGAAATCAATTGTTCTCTCATCTAAACAAAACTACTGAGTATTTATATGAGAATCTTTAAAAACAATTTTAATAATTCTTATTAAGAAAAAAAGAAAGATGTCTTCTAATGTAGGTAGCGTGCAAAACTATGCGTTAGAGTCAACATGGAACTTAACACTGCACAAAATTATTACTTTAACCCTTTCTGCAGTGGGCACTTTTATTAACCTTGTTGTCATTTTTGTGATTATAAACAGCGGGCTTTATCGTCAGAAAACATTTACATTCGTTTTGAATCTGTTTGTTGGGAATTTACTGATCAGTGCTGTGGGTCTACCAGTATATCTTTTGCCTACGTTTTCTTCAACCTTTCAAACAGGCGCAAGCTGTGCTTTAACTGGATTTATTCTCTATAGTTTTTCTGGAATAATGCTAATGAATGTTACGTTAATATCTTTAAATCGTTATATACTAATTGTACGATTTGCTCACTATGAAACTATTTACAGAACTCGTAACATAAGGATAATCCTTATAGCTGCCTGGCTTATTTCTCCTACAGTGTTTAGTTTACCACTGACAGAGGTGTGGGGAAAGTTCCAATTCGACGAACCGAGATATACTTGTAGTCCACTTATCTCCAAAGATGAAGCATTTCAAAATTTTGTTTTAGGTATATCAGTCGTTATATATTTTCCAATTATCTCATTTTGTTACATAGAAATTCTTCGGAAAATAAAATCGAGTCACAAACGAGTAAACACAATGCAGAGCGAAAATGTTCATCGACAAAAGAACGAAAGACAAATACGTCGGTCAATTGTGGTGTTAATTTCACTCTTTTTCGCCCTCAACATTCCATATATTATATTTTCTATCGCAGATCCTAATGTGAAATTGATAAGTATTTGGATTCACAACTTTTCAATGTATCTCGGTATGTTAAATCATTCAGCTAACTCATTCGTTTATTCGATTTTAAACCAACAGATTAAATTACATTTATTGAATATTCTTGGACGAATTTTCAAAGTAAACAGAACTGGAACAACACTATATAATCCTGAAATTGATGCCATATCTTAAAACATCAAGGCTTGGACATTTGAATACAAATGCAATGAAAGAACGTTCATCTGGTATTTGTAAGAATAATTCTTTTTTATATGTCTATTTCGAGTTTGTTTCTTAGTTGTAATGACGCCCCTTAATAAAAAGTATTTATTCATCTACTTGTTTAGTTTTCGCTTAACATAGAATTATTTTGCATATTTACTTTAAAAATCCCGTAGAATATTTTTAGGTATTATTTGACAAATCTTTAAAATAATTCTTAGGTTTTTATTTGAGAAAAACCTAAAGAACCGTCTTACATATTTATTTGACAACCATGGTCCCCTCTTGTTTTGTGTAAAATTTCAAACAAAAATAAGATTTATCCTGCATTCTATCCCTACAGAGTCTGTCTTCCATGACATGATTTTAATCAAACATATATGTATCTGATGATATATAAAATATGCCAATGTATAGTCCTGCAGGTAAATAATACTCATTTTTCGTGCATGATAGCAAAGCACTTTATTTACTGAACACTAAATTAACTTACACCAATAAAAGAATATCTAAATTAAATGAAACTAAACCCTTTATTTACCTAAGTATTCCTTTTCTTAAGAAAAAGAAGAAAAGTTGTATGAGAGATGGACAAGATAAAAGAAAACCAGAGGAAAGAAAATGAGCGGCAATGAATAATGAATTCCATTCAAATGCTTTATTCATACTTATACTTAGAAATTATTTATGAAAGAGTAACGTTGCTTACATGTTAGGACAATAATTCTTTTTTTAAAATGTAATTCTTGTACCAACCATGTTGTGGGAGGCATCGGCACTGTGACCCGACGCCACGTCTGATATTTGGATGGGTGGTACACTGTACCCTCAGCGTATGATTGACACGTTGTGGGCGGAATACAAGGTTCTTCAATCAATCGCCAGCTTAAACCATGATCATTGGAGTACTCCAAATACAGTAAATTGTCACGATCCATGGAAAACATGTTTCGGCATGCCATAACGAGGTCAAACTCTATGACGTAAGTAGGCCCAACATGTACAGGCATGGTCTCCATGTACCGCATTTCTCCCGTCTGATCAGGTTCAATGAAACTGAAATTTAAAAAAAAAGCTCTTATTAAATATTTATTGTAATCATGATCATTAGACTAGATTCGCAAAAATAAACTTGCTTGTTTAAATGAATTGAAGAATACCTCATACTGGTTCTGCTTCCGCAATAGCTTTGAGACAATGTACCAAGGTTGGTTATCAGCTGGCGGGAATTGTTTTTAAAATCCTCCATGTCTAGACTGATAGTGTTAAACAGGTGGTTGTTAATACTTATGCCATCAATAGCCCACAAATCTTTTCCGCTCCCGGAGTGCACAGGCTGCCACCATCTAAATCTGCATGCAGGACTTCTTGCTTCGTCAGGCAACATAACAATTTCAGACCTGAATATTACATAAATTTCGTCTATGAGTTGTTTATACTCGTATGATACGACCAATACTATATCAAGTTTTTATTCAAATTCTTAACTTACTGTGGTTCCCGGATGTCATCAAAAATTTTGATCAAATCCCATGTTAATCCTCCATTACATGAGAAATCTAAAATAACAGATTCCCTTTCATGTGTTGGTGGAGGACATTTTGATGTCATGGAATGGCTTCCTATTCTTATAAAGAACTGGATGTACCTTTAACATCATTAAAAGATGTGCATTATACCATTTACTCACACAGAATAACTGTTATACATGAAATATATGGAGATAACGAGCAGTATTCAAGCTCAAAAGTCCATTAAACAATACAAAAGAGGAGCAGAGCAAACACGGACCACCAAAACATCAGAGGTGGGATCAGGTGCCATGGAGGAGTGAGCATCCCCTGCCGACCGGTCACACCCGCCGTGTGCTCCTTGTCATGATCGGCAAATAACGGAAAGAACCGTCGACAATTCAGAGTGTAAATAATGTCCCAGCAATTAGTATGAAAAACATCAGTAAGTATTTGACTCAATGATAAATTGTATTTGCTGACAAGGTCATTGTATCGACCATAGAACTTCGAAATGATGACTTTAAACGAGACTGCTGATATTCTTGTTTCATCAACCTTGTTTGTCAATGTTTACCTCGTTTTAGAAATTGTACATACGTAGAGCATGCTCTTGCGTATCGAATCAACTGAGATATATAAACCCCGTATGCAGGTTATGAAGGTGTAAGGGAAGTTGACGATTAAAAAGTTAAAGTCATCACGTTTATCATAAAGCTTGGTTGTTAGATTACAATTAACGTCATTTTCAAGTAAAATATCTAAATATGAAACAGATGTGTCAGACTCTGTGGTATCTTTTATCCCAAGCTCATCGGGATATATCGTATCGACATAAGAATGGAAATAACCATTGTTTATTGACAATACGTCGTCGATATATCTAAATGTCGAATTGAAGGCCACAGCAAGTGTTTTCTTCTTTTCACGTATAAGATTTTGGACAAATTCTGTTTCATATGAATACAAAAAAAGGTCTGCTAATAACGGGGCGCAATTGATACCCATGGAAATTCCAATAGATTGTTGGAAGACCTGGTCTACAAAAACCACACAGATATTGTCAACCAGAAACTCAAGCATTTTTTTTATGTCAACTTCAGAGTACTTGTGTGTACAATCAGAATGTTTTTTAACAAAATAATTTTGCAAATGACCAATGACAAGGTAAGTAAATTTAGGAGTTCCGTTTTTATTGAAAAAGCAGCTGTCAATGATATCAAAAAGCCTGGACTTTAATTTATCGTGGGGAATGGTTGTGTATAAAGTTGAACAGTCGTAAGTTTTTGAGCTGTTGATTTTGGTCAAATCTTATGATATTAAATTTTCCAAAAGTTCCTTGGAATTTTTAAGTATCCACATCTAATTTAGACCACATCTCGAATATATTATTTTATAATGCTGGAATTTTCTCCTCCACTACTGTTAATATCTTATTGAGGAGTAAAGAAGGAGGTTTGGTTGAACATTTATGAGAACCCGCTATGTATCTTTGTTTGTAAGGATTTTTATGAAAAAAAAAAATGGAAATTAGAAAAATTTTCATCGCTCAAACTTCTACATTTTATTTGAAGGTATATTCAATAGCGCTATTTGTTCAACGTTAGTAAATTCTGCTAATAATGTTTACATAATATTTCATTTTCCGTAATTTAAAATCAGAAACAAATATGGTAAAGCGAAATTGGTAAACCTGGTATTAAAGTTAAGAATATATATATTTAAAGTACCGGTTATTTGTCGTGTTAAAATCTGCTGTTACTAGTCTACGGGGTCCATCCTTGTCAAACACCAGTGATTTTCCGTAAGACAACACTCCACACCTGTAGCTGAGAGACGCACCATTAAAATGAAGGGCGTTACTGGAGGTCAAGGTCGACCCATCTACGAACTGTTCCATCATGGTCACTAAATGTGGTACTACTGGAATCTCACAAGTTATACCAGTGTAACCAAAGTCACATCTGTAAGAGAAACCGTGTGGTAAAATTTGATGTAAAACTTGGATTCCCTATTGTAGCCACATCCTACCTCCGGGGCCATGATTTGAGTAATTTAAAATTTACACTACCCCCGAAATGCTTCCACATAAGTTTCAGCTTTTCTGGCCCAGTGGTTCTTGAAAAGAAGATTTTTAAATATTTCTCCTATATATCTCAATGTAAAACTTGGATTCGTTATTGTGGCCAACTCTACAACCCTACCCCCGTGGGTCATGATATGTACATTTTAAAATCTACACCATCCCAGAATGCTTTCACATAAGTTTCAGCTTTTCTGGCCCAGTGGTTCTTAAGAAGGAGATTTTTAAAGATTTTTCCTATATATTTCAATATAGATTCCCTGTTGTGGCCCCACCCCGGGGGCCATGATTTGAACAATTTAGAATCTACAAACCCTAGGATGCTTCAACATAAGTTTCAGCTTTTTCAGGCCCGGTGCTTCTTGAGAAGAAGATTTTTTAATGACCCCACCCTATTTTTGTCTTTTCTTCATTATCTCCCCTTGAAAGGGGGCTTGGCCCTTCATTTAACTATTTCATTTCCCCTTCAACCAAAAATGCTTTGTACCAACTTTGGTTAAAATTGGTCCAGTGGTTCTACGAAGAAAGTGAAAATGTGAAAAGTTTACAGACGGACGGACGGACGACGGTCCACAGGTGATCAGAAAAGCTCACTTGAGCTTTCAGCTCAGGTGAGCTAAAAACCGAATGATATTACCTGAAATTTGCTCTTTACCTTAATCATTTTAACATTTGAAATGAAAAGGGGATATAAAACATTTTCCACGTAGCAGAATTCTCTTTAAAGGACGATTTTTTTTTTCAATATGGAATAAGATTATTTTCAAAATTGTATTCAAATGATTGTCTTTAAAGACAAGTACATCAAATTCAAATCATAAAACACGAAAACACTACCAAATGAAATTTTCAGAAAAAAAAGGACACGTTGTCTATCAGTCATCACATCCTTATTTAACGACGTTTTCTCCAAAACAAAGACTTAGTCTGTGTTTAATCAGTATGTTATATCAAATACGCCACATTAACCCGCGCTGTCAATACACCTTGTACAAATATAGCAGGAGTTTGAAGCCTTGTAGATAAGGCAAATCCCTAAACACAAGGTGTCGAGGCATAAACCATTTAATTATCAAAACGTGAAACTCTTTTATCTTCCTCTTTGTTTTGTTTCCTGATGAAAGGTTTTGTACGGGAAAATCTGTGAAACTTTTAACACAACGTCATGTCATGCATTTTGGTAGGGAATAACTCAAAATATAAAAGAAATGAATATTTTTTCCCTAAAGTATTTTTTGTAAAAAAAAAAAAAAAAAAATTACTATTTCGGTATGAAATTTAAAAAAATTAAATTTGAAAAGTTTTACAAGTTACAAGTATGCCATTGGAAAATACAAAAAATGCCAAGAAATGCATTAATTCTCTACATACTGCAAAAGGAAGTATCCTCAGCAACACCGTAATATATCCTTCAAATGAGGAATATATTATAGTGCTACAAAACGCAAAAAAGTTACGAAGTAAAAAATGCTTATTTCAATATCTAAAGCATTGATTTGAAGTACATTCCATGACAGAACTTTTTTAACTTTTGAGATCATCGAGCGATTTTTTTCTTTATTTACTGTCTGGTGAGGCATCCCCTGACATACTATATATAATCGTGTCTTGGTAAGTCAAGTCACAGTGGATTCAGACGGGACCAACATGAAGGCTTTCTGTTTTTTGGTTGTTGTTGGGGTTGTTTGCGCTGCTCCAGGAAGAGGTATTCATTCTTGTATTTGCAATCCTAAATATTGATCAATTCTTAGTGGTTTATCAGAAATACTTATTGAAAGTTAATCACATACTATAATGTTTCTAAAAGACAATTTTTGGATTTTCCTTTTTTACAGAAAAGCGACAGCTTGGGCTTGGGACGAACAACTGCAGTAAGTCGGTCATTGACAATTCATTTACATCCGTACAATTTAGTAAATATACTGTAGTTTATTCTTTGTCACAATAAAATAACATTGTTCCTGTTCAAAGACTTTCAGGCAGCCAACCCCTGCACGGCCGGTAAGATAACCAGTCAAGTGTTTTACCCACATCCTAATGACAACACAAAATTCATTCAGTGCAATGCTCTTGGAGAGATGTACATTATCCAATGCCCTTCTGGAAAACTTTATAATCCCGCAACTGTATCCTGTGTGTCAAGAGTAAGAACATCATACTGATGTACAACAAAGTCTCAAAAATTAAAAAAAAAATTAGTTCTCCCGATTTTTAGAATAGAAATTCTATATTTTAATCGTAGTATGTAAAATTCCTTTTATATGTACTGGTACTTGCTTCAGCAAGAGTAATAAAATTTATAAAAGTCATTGAATCACAAATGTACTGGAAAATATGTTTTTATTACAGCCTTGTGTTTACAAAAAAAATCACAATATCAAAGCAATATCTTATCATTTACTATCAAGAATTCGTCTTCAATACATTGCTTGTTTGTTTGAATGTTTGTTTGTTTAAAGTCCCTTCGAGAATTTTTCACTGATATTTAGAGGCCGTCACTTGACAGCGGAGGGCTGCAAATTTAAATCTGTACTCAGACCTACGGTCTTTGAGCAATAAGAGATCTTTTTCGTGCCAGCACCTACTGCGACACGGGACCTCATTAAATAGGGTCTCATCCGAAGAACCTGTTTCTACGTTCCGCAGTGTGATTCGAATACGCGACGAAAAGATCAAATCTTCACTCTGCAACTCTAGAGCAAACACTCTATTTGTTTGTTAATTTGTTTATTGTTTAACGTTCCTCTCGAGAATTTTTCACTCATATGGAGACGCCACTAAAGGCCATTGTAAATTTACCATATACATTGACTGCAATATCAAGTTTTAAGTGCATTAAGAAAACATTCCCTCTTATACCTTTGTTTACCTAATTTTGACTTTTTCAGAACTTTATTCCACATGGCACAGGTGGAGGACAGGTAACTGTGCCTCTTGGCAGCAATCCCTGCACACAGCAAAATATTGCTCGCGGAAACTTATACTTTGCAATCGCCAGCGACATACATAAATTCATTGAGTGTGACCTGTTGGGAAATGCCAATCAACTGACCTGCCCCTCCCTACTGGTGTGGGATCAGGCACGTCTTTCTTGTGTTTATAGCTTCCAGAGTGGCCAGCCGTTACCCACACCAAACACTGCGCTTTTACCAAGTACGTTGTCATATTCTGCAATTTTTCCTTTTACCAAATTTTGGAATGTCATCATTTCTAAAATTAACGCATTTTTTCTCCAAAATGTCCACGACAAATTCAGGTCATTCATTTAAAAAATATTCGGTCTTAAAGCAGAAGTAGACTTTATTAACATAATTTTCCTCCTTAATGACCATTTTTTTTCACAGTAATTATAGGACAAAATAAAAAAGGGTAATTGCTGTCGATTTGAATTATTTCAGGCACTGGAGTCACCACAAACCCCTGCAAAAATGCGGTCGTTACTACTGGAAACTCTCAGTTCTTTTCACACCCCGATCCCTCTAAATTCATCCAGTGTGACATCGCCGGAGACGCCTACGTTTTATCTTGCCCGTCAGGTCTAGTGTGGAACGAGTTCAGTACAACATGTGTGTCCCCATATACTCAAGCTGTTGGCACACACCCATAGTATTGTCCCGAGTTCGGAATCTCTTACCTGGATTACAACAGCTCATCTTCCATTCTGATATATTTTTTGCGTGAATTTACTATTAAATAATTGAATTTATATACATGATTGTTTTGGATATCATCAAATAATAGATCTGTACTGCAATCTGCCATATTTTCTCCTCCCAACATCAGATAATTACTTCTGATGAATTTAGGCGAAAGGTTGATGAGTTGTACAATGAAGTGACAAATGTTCATTAACTGAGTGGATTATTCTACACAACAATAAGAAAAGAGACCAGGGACAGCTTCAAGAATATCTAAAAATCGTTGCCCTAATTTTCAATACATACATGTACTACATATACTTGAATATGGTATATGTAAAAGAACAAGAGGCCCATTGGTCACATCGCTCACCTGAGTACTTTGGTTAGTGAAAAGCAGCAATCAGTTCAGTATTGAAAAGTAAAAACATATTAGCGGCCTCACCCTACCCCGAGAGGGAGGAGAGGGAGTCATGATCTGAAAAACTTGAATCTAAACTAACTGAATATGCTTCCATAAATATGGCTGATCCTGGCTTTAAACAGATTTTTATAGATAATTTTCTATTAAATATTCCTGTGTAAAACTTAAGTCTTCAATTGTGGCCCTGCCCTACCCCAGAAAATAGAATCTAAACTACCTGAGGATGTTTCCAAATTACATGTAATAAGACCAATCATGACTTAATTTCTGTTCTTGAGGAGATATTGAAAGATTTTCCCTATATATTTCTATATAATTTTTAATCGCTTTATATGACTCTAACCTAGTCCCAGGGGACATGATTTTGAAAAAAAAAATAGTTGAATCTTCACCACCTCTGGATGCTTCAATATAAATATGAATAATCCTGACTTTGTTGATCTGGAGAAAACGATTTTTAAAGATTTTCGTTCACATTCCTTTGTAAAACTTTATCGCCCCTTGTGGCCCCATCCTTACCATTTAGGTCATTATTTGAATAAACTTGAATCTACACTACCTAGGGATGCTTCCATATAAATATAACAGTTACTAACCATGGCTTTGAGAAGATTTTAAAAGATTTTTCCTATGCATTGTGGCCCCATCCTAGCCCCAGGGGTCATAATTTGAATTAACATGAATCTACTTTACCTAAGGATGATTCCATATAAAAACACATGTACGACGAATCATTGCTTTGCTGTTTTTGAGAAGATTTCGAAGATTTTTCCTATATATTCCTATGTAAAACTCTGATCACCCATTGTGGCCCCAACCTAGCTCCCGGGGTCATGATTTGAATGAACTTGAATCTAAACTACCTGGCGATGCTTCCACATAAATTTTACTAATCATGGCTTTGCTGTTCTTCAGAAGATTTTTAAAAGATTTTTCCTATATATTCCTATGTAAAACTTTGATTCTCCATTGTGGCCCCACCGTAGACCCGAGTGTCATGATTTGAACAAAATTTAATCTACACTATGTAATGAAGCTTTCAGATAAGCTTCATCTTTTCTGACCCAGTGGTTATTGAGAAGAAGTTTTTAAAAAGATGCCATTAAATTTTCACTAATTCTTTAATATCTCCAGTTGAAAGAGGGCGTCGCACTTCCTGTGTACACATTTAAATCACCTCCACCCAAGGATGCTTTGTGACAAATTTGGTTGAAAATTGGCCCTGTGGTTCTTGAGAAAATCGAAAATGTGACAAGGTTACAGACGACTGACGACACACGACAGACGGACGTTGGACACTCTTTGATCAGAACAGCTTACTTGAACCTTCGGCTCAGGTGAGCTAATAATGCCACAAAAGGGGCTTTTAAGAAAAAGAAGTTTCTCTCGAGTTCAGCATATGGGAGTAGATGAGTGAATTTATATTAAGAATTCAAGCATTAATACATGTAATCTGCAGTGTACTCTTTTACAATAAATCAGACACTACCGATATACCTGTGAGTTGTGCAAATGTCCTTACCTACATCCTGTTCTGGTACAGCGCCCATTTCCATGACATCCGTTTTCACAGTCTCCGATAAATACTGAAATCAGGCATACATTGTACTTGAAGTAATGAAATGAAACTTACGATACGTAAATATTTTTAAGTTAATATTCTGTAAATATTAAATACTTATACACATATGATAAATACGACATTTGAACTGTTATATCAATTAATATTAAGCCAACTGTCAGCCAATAGAGATCTCTATTGTTCTTACCGTTGTCTAAAGCCCAATTAGGTGTAACTTGATGTTCTCCATTCCACCGAAATCTGACATGAGGTACTAGAACAGCAAAGGGAAGAGGCGAAGTCACCCTCTTCCAGCTATCAAAAATTACCAAATTAAAGAATACTTGACTGAGAAAGTTATATCGCAAATCTATGATTTTAAAAAAAAAAAAAAAAACATCAATACATGTTGCAATTAATCTTAAATCTATGATTTTTTCCTCAAATTATCAAAAAAAAATCTTAATTGGGTTGTCTTGATGATAAATAACACAATTTTTTTCAGAAATGAGCAATATGTATCATAGATTTATATTTAAATTGATAACCTGAATAATGTTTGCCAGGCAAAGTGGGAAAATTTTGTAAAATTTTGTTAAAAATTTGTAAAAAATTTTGCATAGAATCACATAGAAAGCGACACAAAGCCACATATCTAACCATCAAAGAAAACTTAAGATTTCTTTATATTTTAAGGATTTATTATTTATGTCATTTCTATTCAGAATCAGTCAAAAAAATATATATCAATCCATGCATCAAATTTCTGTTTGTATCCTTAAAAGAAAATAATTTTGTCCAAAAAGATAAAATAACATAACAATGAGGAACAAAAATATCCCTGACAAACTATTTAGGTATAGGTTGTCTGTTTGATATCTTACTGGATTCCTTAATAAGGAGGGACTCTCTTATTTTGTTTTACATGCAAGAAAAATCGTAAATTATAATTCAAAAAACTATTGGATGCCTCGAGAACTGAAACAGCTGAAGCAAAAATGGAGTAAACTGTTCTACCTTAAAAAGTCCTCGCTCTCATACTCCGATGACACTGGTTGATGTTTCCCACCACATTTGTAATGGAGACATGGTTCATGAACTTTGAACCATGATTTCCCAAAATTTGTAGAGGCTTCTAAACTAACACTAAAACAACGTTTTTGTCGTGAAAGTATCGTATATGCAGTATGTAATATTCTAAATCTATTATTTTGTGTACAACATTACTGATGTTTAAAATTTTGAATAAAATTCACAAGTATCTTTCAATAAAAATAAATCAACTTTTTTGTTTTGCTATTGATTATTTCATTTTATAAAGAAAACCAAAGATTATTAAAGTAAAAAAGATTAATCTTATAATTCTTATAAGCCAATGTTTTATTTCCTTGTACTCATCCTTTGACTGCAGGACTTTTGTTTCCACACAAACTTACACATTTCTGGTTGCATTTTTCCCGCAGTTCAAGTTAAGATCGAACTGTACCATTTTATTCACATCGGATCTTCGGGGGAAATGTGGCAAAACCTGTACTCCATCAATTGCCCAAACGTCGAGATCCACACCGCGATGGTGCGCCTGTGCCCAGCAAATCCGCGCCTTAGACTGTCTTTGGTGGCCATTTATAGGCACTGATATTAATCTAGGTTCCTGGTAGATAAGAAAGGAATTTATGATGCTTATTGGGAGATAATATGATATACATTTATAAATCATTATATCATGAATAATGATTTATGGGTTCATTTATAAACCATGATATTCTGGAGAATAAATTATGTGTTTACCATAAAATCTCTACTTGCGAGATTTCGTATCACCGGTTTGTGCCCATGCTTGTCCTCAATGTAAACCTCGACGTTTGTATCAGGAGAATCCAAGGCTTGGCAACGACCACTACCTATCAGTTAAAGGGCAGTGATCTGTGCTAGTAATACTATCAAGCAATTTTGAAATCTGTTTCTATTAAATTTCTATTAATGTAACTTACCGAAACCAAAGTAGAACCTAAGATTTCCTGCCAATCTAGTATCAAGATACGGAGTACAGGCCCACCGTTCTCCCGCCCCATCAAACACCATTGAGTTAGCATTATAAAGAACACCACAGATAACGTCAACCCGGCCTCCTCGAATTATCCAGCTGCAATATAATTTTTTTTTAAATGTTCTCTTGTAAGGTACAATTAAGTTTGTTCGAATTTAATGTCAGGATGTAGTATACAATTTTTTTTAAAAAATATCGTTTTCAATCGCATTGGCTTAAAGGTGAAGTGCAGTTTCTCTGCAGATTCAAGCAGAAACACTATCACTGGTTTTCAGTTCTTGAAACTGAGAATCCATTAGAGAATAAGTGCATAGTACTTCTTATCTGTTTGTAATATTTATCCTCAAGTAATAATTATTTTTTGGGAATACATGCGTGTTATAAGTGCTCTTAAAGCATGGAACTAAAAAAAAGGTTTCTCCGAGATTTCATACCGTTCGGGTCCAAAAATGCAATTTTAATCAGTCTAAAATCCCCATTTTTCTCTCTAAAAATCTACTATATTAGCTTTTGTGAACAACTAAATCAACAAAATTTAATATGAAAACAGAAATAATATGTTCTTTCTTGAAAGATATACGGGTCAAAACATAAATTATAATAGTGCTAATCTTGTTCAATAACCTACCCTGGTTGGTTCTTTGATTCAAACTGCTCCTCAAGCATTAGATCCGGTGTGACGTCAGAAACTGATAAGTCGAAATCACGTGTTACAGCATAATTAACTGTTTGATTTTCAATATTGAAGAACAAAGTATTTTCCTCAGATCGACACTTTTGCTAAAGGAAAAAATACATTGAAAATTTTCAGATTTAAAAATGTTTCAAAATTTCGAAGTTATTGTTCAAGATTTTCAATTAGTACATACTCTGATATTCCCTCCAGGAAAGAAAAGCCAGTTGCTGGGATCAATTGGATCAAAATTCTCTTCCATACGACTGGGTTTATTCGCTATATTGACAAGCAACACATTGTCAATTCCCCAACAACTACTAAAGTCTGGCTGTCCTTCGTCAGAAATATCCCATCGTATTGTGCGAGGTCTTTTTGTTGTTGATGTTGTTGAAGATTTTTCTGTTGTTGTTGTTAGGTTTTCTGTTGTCTCCACAGCTGTAAATGGTTCTGTTGATGTTTCCATTGTTGTTGCCGATTCAGTGGTTGTTGTAATCGTTGTTGTTTGTAGTGTTGTCGTCGTTGGTTTTGGTTTAGTAGACAACTGTTCCCACTTTATACAGACGCCGTCACCTCTAGATTCTTTTGGGAGGTATACAAGGTAAACTTCTGTTTGTGACGATGGTATACTAAAATGTGAAATTATTTTTTTCTTTAGTTATTCCTACCGATGAAATATTATGAAAGATTGGTCCTTTTAGTGTCTTCCAGTATTTCTGAGAAATAAAAAAATTCTAAGAAATCCAAACGATTGCTTAAAGTTACAAGTTTGTCTCTCTAAAGACATTTGGCAATGGAAAATATCGGTAGCGCTTCTTAAAATTGTCTAAGAATACATTCATTGATACTTTTCTTCCATACTTTTAGAAAAGTAAAGGGGAAAAGCACGAAAAGCCAGTAAAAAACAGAGACAAAACAAAAATTGAAAACAACAAACTGTATCATTAGAAAATGTCATTGGTACTTTAATTCCCGGTTCTAATAAACGTATATTAAAGAATTTCTTTCCAATGAAGCTTAATGTTGAAGCATAAGAGTTGTTCACCTTAGAGAATCTATTGTGGTCCACACTGTACAACCCTGTAGCCCATAAGATACCGTGATATTATTATCTGTTGTTCCCAAAACTTCACATCTTCCTGTAGCTGTTCCGGAAAAACACGAAAAAGTTTTCACTTTAACCAATTGCATTCATTTCTTCCAAAATATAAATTGTGTATCGTTATTTAATAGCTTGTATTATTTTATCGAGAATATTCGACATATATACTCTTTTTAAAGGGTATTATGATATAAATGATATTCACATTATATTTGATATCAGTTAACTCAAATTTTTAGACAAAATTTTGACTTACATAAAGCAAACTGTAAGACAGCAGCGGAAGTTGTATTCATCGGTACCGTCACCTACCGGAAGGAACAAAATGTCCAAAGATTGATTTTAAAAAAAGATTACGGTTGTACACTTATATCTCAAATTTATCAAAATATAACTATTGATATATCTAATATAAAAAAGTTCACCAGTTTCCTTTCACCATAACGTTGGCACAGCCAACTAGAATCCCCATACATTATGTGACCACAATTTCGACTAATATTAACACCCAGTGTCTCGTGCCTACAACAGAAAATATGTAAGTAATCATTTTTACTGCATCCATTACTTTTTCATGATTTCATCATTTCTCCATTTTCAGTTTGGTAAAATTGTTTGAACATAAAAATAGTTTATATCCGACAAAAATGTATACCAAATAAGCATGTTAATATCTGGCGATGAATCAAAATCGTCCCTTAATATTACGCCATTACTATGGAGAATGGCAAGTTCTGGTCTAAGTGGAGATGTCGTAGGAGCTTCAAATTAAAAATGAAAATTTACATTTTTTTCAAGTCAACAGACTGAATACGACTTCCTATTTCTCATTTCAATTGATAATATTAAGAAACCTCAATTCCCTTCCCATATGAAAGCTTGATGATTTATTTAAAATTGACAACAGTTCTAAAGAAATCTTACCTCCCTCCTCACACATCTGCAGCACTGTTGTGTCTTTGAACAATAATTGTGAATGTAGCGTTCCAGTAGCCCTAAAGTTAAACCAATTGAATAATGTATTCTTTTCAACATTTCTGAATCATGCATGTTTACTTAAAATCTTAATGCCTCATAAAGTGCGAATAAACATATTTCTTTTTGTTTGTTTTTGCTTTCTTACAAAAAGCTAACGCATCCTGTTCCGCTAGGAGGCGCCATCCACATAAATGACAGTTGTTGCTGCGGTTCTCTGGTAATGTGGGAGTGGACAATTGAGCACATCAAGTTGTTTCCAGATCCAGCGTTCCCTAGGAAACCATGTCCTTGCATCCTCGCTTTGACTTCTGACGTAAGCGTGTAAAGCCCAGTAAGGAAAAACCCGTCAAAGTTCACTGTTGACCTGATAGTAACTGTGCATAAAAAAGAAAAAAGGGCCTTCGCGGTCACTTGAGCATAATTCAACCCTGTAAAGGATCCATGAAATGGCAATTTGATAAGTATAATGAAAAGAGCTCTTTACCTCCCTATATGAGATGTTTTCAAACAGTTCTTGGACCGGCACCATAAAATTAAAACGGCACATGATATGATGCAGGTTGTAATGGTACATTGCTAGATAAATAAGGAAGGTTCACGAAAAGTTGAAGTCATTACGTTTATCACAGTTTTGTTGTTAGGTTACCATTAACGTCTTTTTCTGGTAAAGTATCCAAATATTTTACTTCAAGTTCACTGGGTTATATCGCGTTGATATATGAATAAGTCCAAAGCAAGTGTTTTCTTCTTCTCATGTAGAAGTTTTCAAATAAACTCTGCTTTATATGAATACAAAAATAAGTCTGCTAATTAGGGGGCGCAATTGGTACCCATGGGAATTCAAACAGATTGTTGGAAGACTTGATCTCCAAAATCTTCAAATCGTCAATCGGAAAATCAAGAATCGTTTGTCAACTTCGAAGAACTTATTTGTGTGTTCAATTAGAATGATTTTTAATAAAATAATTTTGGAAACGACCAATGACAAGGTAAGTAAATGTACGAGTTCCATTTTGATTAAAAAAAAAACAACAACTGTCTATGATGTCAAAAAGCCTGGACTTACATTATTATTGGAAATGGCTGTATAAAGTGTTGAAAATTCGTACGTTTTGATGTTATTGATTTTGGTACAATTTTGTGATTTCTGATATCCGCTATGTATCTTTGTAAGGATATTTATGCAGTTTAGGAATCCAGTATTAGTTTGGTGATTCAAATTCAATTTGATTGATATGAGCATTTGTCATCCAATAATCACATTTATTAATTTACTCATATGTTGTGACACAATTGTTCCGTAAAATTTGCAATTTTTACCTCATTATGTAATATCTAGGAAATCTTATCGCAAATGATATATAGTATTCTCAATCAAATGAGGCGTTAAAATGACGCCGGAAGGGGGAGAGGCCTTTTTTCCAATTCTATAAAGCTTTTAAATTACCTTTTGAAAAAAAAAAACTGGCATAGACCTACAAATTGTTTAAACGGACTTGAAAGAAATAACATACGTGCAGACTATCTATTTGAAATGCCTTGAAAGATTCACAGAGAGGAGAAACACATTTAATGCCCATTTGGAGTCAGTGTGTCTAAAGTCAGTTGTGTCGAAAAAGTGATGTCGATCGTGTGCGGTAGAAATTTAACCCCCGACAAGCCAATTTAACTGACATAGTCACGTGAGGATTTTTGCGTTTTGCATACATCCATTTACAATATTATGCATCAAAACAAGCCGTCACGACAGCAAAGTAAAATAAAGAAGAAATTTTCAGTTTTTATTTAGTTCCAGTGTTATAGAGGCAGAGGAAAACGACATTGGGAAGCAATGACGTCGTCAAACGTCATAATATGAACGGCAACAGCGCCGGGTGACCACAAAATATCTTTAGTATTTAAGGATAGTTGACAAATTATCAACGTGTATCAGACTTACATTTTCAAAACTTCTTACACTTTTGTTGTTTTTGTATCTTAATATATTTTGTAAGCACAGCCTTTAAATTATTGATTTTAAGGCACCAGTCCACGAACTTCTTTGATAACCCCTCGTATGAACCAGTGCAAACTATACATTTGTCTTTCACCATACCTAACAACAGAGAAATTACATTGGCACCTTCTTGGTCTTTGAAAAACAATTGATGTAGAAATATAAGACATTCTGTCGCACTTATATTAATTTTTTACACTTTAAGAACTATTAAAGTATATTATATACAGAAAAATTCTTGCATAATTCATTTATTCAATAGTATTATCAATAAAAATTATTTACAGAGATTAATTATCATAGGTGAATAACAACGTGGATGACTTCTGTCCAAGTAGAGTTCATATTTCCCTGTAAAATAATAATAGAGCCCTGTCCAGCACCAGAACCCTTGATCCAGTAGTCAAGAACCTCAAAGATCTGGTAAAATAGTAAAATAATGAACTTGCGCATGTTTTGTCTGCTAAATACCCAGTTACAGAGAAGATTTTCAAAGAATTAAACGCATTTTCAATTATTTATAATCAATAGAGTCCGACCCTAATAAGAGAACCCCCAACCCAAAATCCATGAATTCACAATTTTGGAGAAGGCAGTTTTGCTCATCATAACCATATACTTAGCTTGTCTGCTTTATATCAAGGATCAGAGAAGAAGATATTCAAAGGATAAATGTATTTTCACTTTATGATCAACAAAGCCCACCCGTAACACCAGAACCCCCGACCCAGGAGCCACTTATTATAAGTCTTTAATGCATTTTTTAATCTTTGATCAACAGAGTCCCGCCCTAACACAAGAACTCCTGACCCAGGGGTCATTAAATTCACAATTTCGGAAGAGGCACTCCTGCTCATTTTAGCCATGCCCTTGGTTTGTCTGCAAAATATACATGGGGAGAAGATTTTTAAAGAATTTTTGAAATTGTAAAATTCATGGCCCCGAGTCAGGGGGTCTGGTATTCGGGCGGGGCTCTATTGATCATTTAGCAAAGATGCATAATTCTTTGAAAATCTGCTCCTGAATACTAAGCAAACAAACTGTTTGGTGATAACATATCCTCTTCTATCAGTCTATTTTGTTTGATCATATACTTATATAATTGCCATTCTACGGATCCTTAAAAAGATTGTATCATACTTGGTGACCGTTAAGTTTGTTCCAGTGGTAATTCTTTTGTTGAGAAGTGCATATGTACGTTGTTGAAATGGTTATGCAAAATGATGCACTCACCATTATAAAGTTTTCCAGGGATGTACAAATCTGGGTTTCCATCGATAGATACACTGAGAGCCACTTCTCCTTTTTCTATTCCTAATTCGTTTACATTACCATGGTAATTACACATGAAGAAGAACGGCGCAACATATGGTTGATAGGAAGAAGTGACATCAAAAGTCAACATCAACAGAAACAGTCTAAAAACCAAGTGCACAACAACTTGTTATCATATTATTATAAAGAGATATATTTTTCATTAACTTTTATTTTCCAAAAAATGCTGATCTCAGGTATAATTGATCCATTAAGAGTTCGGAAATGAATGAAACATGCAGTCTGGATTTTTTATTTAGAATAGATCTGTTATTTTCAAAAACTAAAACCTATATATCATTGAGATGATGAAATTCATGAAACGGTCTAATAATTGCAGTACATCTCAATATAGGGACTTATGAAAAACATGAACAACATTTTTCATGTTTGTCTTTTTTTTGGAGTAATGACAGAATATAAAATAGAATCGCAATATATTCTAATCCTTTATCTTTGTGTTGTAGGTGAAATATGCGGAGATAACGAACAGTATTCGAGCTCAAAAATCCATTAAACATAACAAAATAGGAGCAGAGCAAATCGGACCTCTAAATATCAGAGGTGGGATCAGGTGCCATGGAGGAGTGAGCATCCCCAACCGACCGGTCACATCCGCCGTGTGCTCCTTGTCATGATCGGGAAAATAATGGAAAAATCCGTCAATTCAGTTGTGTAAATAATAGTCTAACAATTAGTATGAAAATATCAGTCAGCATTTGACTTAATGGTAAATTGTATTTGTTGACAAGGTCATTGTACCGACCATAGAACTTACGAAATGATGACTTTAAACGAGACAACTGATATTCTTCCCAATATGAAATTTATTAAATATATTGATAATATTTGAAAACAAAACTTTTGCATGTGTTATTTATTGTATATTATTATAGCTTCAAAGTTGAAAATAGTATGTACACATATTTTAAAGCACTTCGATGTTCCAAAACTTGATCAGAAAAATTACACGAAAAGACAAAGTGCAAAGTGTTGGCGGAAATTTCTTACACTACGACCATTGCCAAGCATTTGAATGACCTTATATTATATTTGCATTAATTATGCTTTGCTATTATATGCTATAGAAATATTCTTTAGTATACATTATTATCAATATATTCAATTACATTCATTTATTCTCTCAATAACCAGTGAAATAGCACTTGAGATTCGTATAAACATATACAGTGTACAACAAACTGAAGGCGCAGACATTATTTCGGGAGAAGAGACATTGTCATAAATTTAAGTAACAAATAAACGTACATTTTCTTAAAAATGCAGGATCAGTATTTGTCATCAAATGACAGAATTTATGACATTTTGATGTACATAATATTTTTGTAACAAAAAACCTCTCTGAATACTACATATTACGTTACATTCTAGTAAGTAGTAATAATCATCTCCAATGTGATTATTATTGCACATGCAGATAAGAAATTCCTGCAAGCTCAATTCATTCAACTGAAATTATTTTTTGAATAAAAAAAAATAGAAATTAAAAATTGTAAACGAAACGGCAATGCAACTGTGTCCAAGCCCCTTTAATTTATACTCTTAGATTTACTTGCAACAGGAGAATCATAAAACGTGTAATTTTTATGTGTATTGAATTCATTAAAAGCATACTAGCCCAAATCCATCTATATCTTTGTAAAACAGGTCTAAGAGCTAAACAGAACAAATGAATGTCAAGGTTCCTTACACATGATATCACAAGGGATTGAGAGATGTAAGAATGTTATATTTTGGAGTATGACTATGAATATAATTATTCACACTTTACAGACTTTAAACTTAATCAGACGAAAGACAAAACCATTGAACTTATCCCATAATGTAATATTCAATTATCAAATTCGAACTGTCTATTCCCTTTAAAAATCTAGATTGTGTAAGGATATATGCCTAAAACAGTTTATTTAGTTTTCAAGAGTAGAAAGGATCTAGCAATTCTTAACGTATGAACATAAGCAAAACACGATCTGGTATACAAGACAATTCCCTATATAGTGAAATTGGGGTTCAGTTGATGGTAAGTGGTCTACATTATGCAAAATAACAAATCTCAATGTTATTAAAATGATTCTGTACAAACATACCTGAAAAACATTGCCTCCATTAACATGTACGAATCATGTCTCTTTCTAGTCTTTCTCAATATACTCGAGTTGGTGACTGCCAAACAAACTACTCTGCTAATTATGTGTTACTTCAATTATATTTCATAATCTTTTTACGCCAATCGTTACAACTTTTACAAGTGAGTGGCACTCGAAATTTCAGTGCAAATTGGTGATATGGCAACTGTTTGTACTTTAATGAAACATGTTCTCTTTGCTTCCCTTTCAATTACGTAAATCTCTTGAATTCTCGAGAAAAATACAGCATATGCGCAGAAAATAATGCAAAAATAATACGTAAATTTTATTTTCCTGAGTACATGCAGAACATTATTTCTATCACAAGGTTTCATATTTACTTTGTGATGTCAAAATTTGGCAAATTGTTTGTGCCTGTCATAACTCTGAGTCATCTCAATGAACAACTTCTTTACTCAGATAGTACAAGAGCTAGACAGTCAGACTTTACTTAAGATTTTTCATTTTTAATTTTCCTGGACATAAACATTACAGTCATCTCCCACAGGACATCTGGAGAGTAGCTCCTAAATTCACACTAGTACGAGTGTCCAAAAAGAGAAAGCACATTTATTCTTCTTAACAATTTACTTTTGTACTGGACTGTCAACTTCACGTTGCCACTTCATTCTCATTATTTACTAAACGCATTGTATAATCTTCCATCTGATTTGTTTATTGATGCAAGCTGTTTGCGTCATTACTGCAATGAATTATCACATGAATCCGTCAGACAAAGTCATAGAGATATCGCAAAACATCGAAATTCACAGTCCTGAAATGGGAAATAATGATGTCCATGAGAGGATAATTCAAAATACAATTTACCTCGATATATTTTAGATATGTTTTTCATTATCAATAAGTTTTCTATACCGCTTAAAACATTTATGCTTTTTTCTTTATCCACTTCCATTGCTGTACCAAGGCAATTTGGATTAAAACACATTGTATCCACACTTTGGTAAAGTAGATAAAGTAATTTTCAAGCATCGATGTTCAATTTAACTCACAATGAAGCCTTATGGGTATTATTACAAACAATTAAATTGCAGTGTGAACACAACGTGGATTAAATACTAGTAGTGCTAATTAAGGTGATCCTTGTTAATGAAATTAATGTTGACCTGCTTTTAATGAAGTTGAAGCATACATAAATCAAATTATTCCAAGCTGAAATGATGCTCTTTTGCAAGTTTCTTTTTCATCTCATGCTTTATAAAGCAATGAAATATAATTTTTAAGTTATTGATACCTGAATAAAAGTATATATTGTTTCAACATTTTTTTTTGGATACTTCTCACTTTCAAAGTATAACTACCCAATTAATCAAAAGCTTCAAACACCAAACACACTGAGTTTATCCAACTGATCAATTTGACACTCTTCAGAAACGTTAGGGTTTTGAAGCACCCATCCAATTACCAGTCTCACTTAATTCAATAACTTCCGTCTTGTCAAAGTATTTTTCTGGGTTAATAGTGCCACCTAAGTAGGTCAATGAGTAAGTACTTCATAATGTCTCTGGCCAAGAGTAGTACTTTTAATAAGAGTTTACATCTAGAAGATGTTTTATCTTTTTTTTATAATCAGACGATAAATTTCTTTACAGTCGTGTGACATTAATATATCAAAGAGGATTGAAATTGGCAACATTCCAAAAGATCAAATTAAGGATATTCTTAATGTTTATTTTTCTTAAGCGAAATACAAAGAAATACAAATGCTTTAAAACTGGATTTTTTATGGTTTACTTTAGTTATGAATATGCTAAAAGAAAAAAAATTAAAATTGCACCCAAGAAACAAAACTCCTCAGAAAAATTGTTAGTTTTAGATAATTTATCATGGACATAACAATTACTTGGATATACATGTATTATAAATTAAAACAGACATTATAAGTTTGCCCTTAAAATCATTACAATTCTTACACCTAATCCCCCCCCCCCCCAACAAATAAGCATTTAAAACCTATGAACTGGTCAATGCTTCTAAATGCTGCCACTATCATATATTAACTAACCTGGCAACTGATTTAATGAACTCCAAGGAGACTAGACATTTATATTTTGGTACATCTATCTGGTCATCTCCAGCCACCTGAGCCAGCAAGTGAACAGACACTAAAGATGTAATCTACAATGAAATTAGAAAACGCACAACATAAACTTGTATCATAAATAGTTTACAATGTCAGAGCTGTATAGACAGTATCTTTGCTGCATATACACTTAAAATTGTCTATTGTCTAAATTGTCCAACACCTGTGGCAATCCATCACACTGTGAATTCCGATGTTAGATTTTGTTCCCATTGTACTATTTTCCATGTTTTTTAGACTGTGCAATCCGACACCCTGTCTATTCCCACAAAAAAATCATCTCCCAGTGCATGTCAGATTAGACAGGTTTCACTGTACATGCATATAAATTTTCATCAAGTTTAAAACAATATTTTCAACCTTTAATGTAGCATTGTAACCTATACTGTATATAGACAGTATAAGGAATTCAAGTCATTTCTTGTTTGAAATTGCACTATTAAATGTATTTCAAAGAACTTTATTTTAAAAGGTAACTTTGCTATGAGGTCAAGTTAGTAAATATGCAAATCAATATGAAACTTTTTCATTCTTTTTAAATGAATTCCAATATTTTTACTTTACTTTTTAGTTTCCTTTTTATGTTGATTTTTATGGAAAAGTAAAAAAATCACAGAAGTATAACAAATAACTCTCATGACCCCCATTTTCTTTGTTATACATGTAATCTCGAAGTATGTTAAATAAGATCCCCTAAATTTCAGAAAATGTTACCTTCATGATAGGTAATTATTTTTATTGTTAAACTATTAATTCAAATGTTTGATCTCCTACCTGCATAAAGATGTTTGCTGTGGGTGCAACCTTTCCCTCCACAATAGCATAAAACACAGCCATCAATCTGTCCATTGGAAATGGTTTAGGACCCAGCATATGGTTATTTGTCTGCAATGAGAAAAGATTCACTTCATTCAAGTTTCCTTTTCCAAGTTTATTCAGATTTTTTTACTTCCTTTAAAAGAACCTCATTGGATATATCTTACAGAAGCTAAATATCTTCCAAACTATTTCTTTCACCAATTTCTTCAATCTTTCAGGCAAATCTAATAACTAATATTCACATTGCAATAATTATCAAAATTCATCAGTGTATACATTTTCTATACAAGCATCAGAATTTACTGTCGGGCTTTTTGCCCCCTTATCATGTTTATATACTGTGTACCTAGTAAATTAATTTTGGGTGGAGTAATAAACTTATATAGATCAGACAAAACCACTCAGAGATGTAGAGCTGGCTTCATTCAAATTGGATTGCATACTTAACTAATTTTCCAGTAAAGATCTTATCAAATGAACTGTGTCTTTTCAAAGGCAAGTTTTTGGAATAGTCACCATATGTCAATTATGACCAAGTATACTTTTATTGTCATAGTTCACAGATGCAGTATTTTCAGATTTACTCACTCTGTCTTGTTTCTTGATGACTTTGGACTTCTTTTGTTTGTCTGAATGCTAAAATAAATTCAAATGAAATTGTCATTGAAATCATGCACTCTATATTAATCCATTTAAAAAAGACTTGAAACATAGCCTGATGGTGATGTTCCCTAACAATTAATTTATTTTTGATTAAAATATTTCATTCAAAGATAAGATAAAAATTAGAATTGTGTCTGAAATACAACGAAACAAACCTTTGAAAAGAATTTTTTATCTGATTTAGCTGGATTGTAGGAAGCTAAATAGGCTGCTATAAGCAGATATTTGGAATAGTAAGGTAGTTCCACATGGGTTCTAGAGCTCAGTCCTGTTAAAATTAGAATTATAATTTTGTATTTTACTTAAAGCCAGTCTTTCATGTGTGTCACAGCATACCAGTATTAGAGGTAGATAAATCACTAAAATGGGTTTAATTTCTCCAATATTCATTTTTTATTCTTAAGGGTACTTAGTTTTAAAATTATCAGAACTAAGGTAGTATCAAAGATACAGTAGTATATTTTAAAACAAAACTTAATTTTAATGAAACCTGAGTTGTGAACCTACCTTGCTGTGTAATCATCTTCCCCATGTCAGATTCCTCTAACATTCTTTCCCACTGAGTGCTGCCAAAAAAGTAGAGTCATTGAAATTCCATTTTAAGTCTTTTTAAAAATTGGTCACTGTTTTATTGGCTGTATCTGAAACACATGCTGAACTATTCCACTTTTATTTTTTCTCTATACTTATATGTATATAAAACATCATTCTAAATTAACAAAGTGGAATTTGGCAAATTCAAAATTAATTTACACACCTGCACCTATCTTTATTTAAAAAATAGTTTTGAATAATTTTTACAAGAGGCCCATGGGCCACATCGCTCACCTGAGCACATTGGCTAGGAAAAAAAGCAAAAATCAGTTCAGTATTGAAAAGTTAACGAGGGAGAGAGAGGGGGGGATGAGGGATTTTAAACTACCAAACAATGCTTTCATATCAATATAACAAATGACTTTGCTGTTCTTGTGCAGAAGATTTTTCCCCATATATTCATTTGTAAAAATTTGATCCCCCATTGTGGCCCCACCCTACCCCTGGGGACGCTCATTTCAACAAATTTCATTTTATACTACCCAACGATGCTTCCATATCAATTTGACTAATCATGGCTTTTCTGTTCTTGAGAGAAAGATTTTTTCCTATATATTCCTCTGTAAACTTTGATCACCCATTGTGGCCCCACCCTACCCCCGGGGGTCATGATTTGAACAAATTTGAATCTACACTACCTGAGGATGCTTTCATATAAATATGACCAATCAGGGATTTGCTGTTCTTAAGAAGAAGATTTTTAAAGATATTTTCCTATATATTTCTATGAAAAACTTTGATCCCCCATTGTGGCCCCACCCTACCCCCAGGGGTCATGATTTGAACAAACTTGAATCTACACAACTTGAGGATGCTTCCATATAAATATGACCAATCAGGGCTTTGCTGTTCTTAAGAAGAAGATTTTTAAAGATATATTTCTATGTAAAACTTTGATCCCCCATTGTGGCCTCACCCTACCCCCGGGGGTCATGATTTGAACAAATTTGAATCTACACAACTTGAGGATGCTTCCATATAAATATGACCAATCAGGGCTTTGCTGTTCTTAAGAAGAAGATTTTTAAAGATATTTTCCTATATATTCCTATGTAAAACTTTGATCCCCCATTGTGGCCCCACCCTACCCCCGGGGGTCATGATTTGAACAAATTTGAATCTACACTACCTGAGGATGCTTCCATATAAATATGACCAATCATGGCTTTGCTGTTCTTAAGAAGAAGATTTTTAAAGATATTTTCCTATATATTTTTATGTAAAACTTTGATCCCCCATTGTGGCCTCACCCTACCCCCGGGGGTCATGATTTGAACAAACTGGAATCTACACAACCTGAGGATGCTTCCATATAAACATGACCAATCATGGCTTTGCTGTTCTTAAGAAGAAGATTTTTAAAGATATTTTCCTATATATTTCTATGTAAAACATTGATCCCCCCATTGTGGCCCCACCCTACCCCCGGGGGTCATGATTTGAACAAACTTGAATCTACACTACCTGAGGATGTTTCCACATAAGTTTCATCTTTCCTGGCCCAGTGGTTCTTGAGAAGAAGATTTTTAAATGATGCCATTATTTTTTCACTAATTCCTAATTATCTCCCCTTGAAAGAGGGCGTGGCCCTTCATTTGAACAAACTTGAATCCCCTTCACCCAAGGATACTTTGTGGCAAGTTTGGTTGAATTTGGCCCAGTGGTTCTTGAGAAGAAGATGAAAATGTGAAAAGTTTACAACAACAACAAAGCCAACAACAACGACAACAACAACGACAGACAACGGACAAATTTTGATCAGAAAAGCTCACTTGAGCCTTTGGCTCAGGTGAGCTAATAAGTGTTTCATAAAGCATTAAGTAAAAATTTTCCAGTACACTTTACAACTTTATGGTGATCAAACAAATCAATCTCCACTGGTGAAAAAAAATAAAAAGATACATAATGACATTAAAATTATGGAAGATTATGGATTAATAAATAATATATATATATATATATATATATATATATATATATATATATATATATATATATATATATATATATATATATATATATATATATATATTATACAGTATACCTTGAAACTTCTCTGAGATACACAGTCTGCAGAGCTTTTTTCAAATGAGGCTCAAAGTTCTTCCACAATTTACGACTGTCATTCTCTGATGCTGAAGTAAAGCAAAGCTTTTCAATAAATAAAATCACAAGAAATGGTCATAAATGACATGTACACCTGTACCTGTACCTTATCAAATATGTTGGTAAGAGTAATGTGACAAGTATAATTTATTATAAACATGGATTTGCTACATTTAAGGAACCCCAAAATCAAATTTTAGAAACTACTGTTTACTTCCCTGAAAGCAAAGTAAAATAAATTAAAGTCCATCTCTAAATAAGGTATAGTTTTTAAATATTCACCTACCTTCTCCATTTTTTATTGGTTCAATGTACTTTTTGAAATTAATGGCAGCCTATCAAACAAACAAAAAAAAAATTGATGGACCAGTATAACAATTCTCACACCAAAACATAATGTAATACATGTACATGCTACTGCACCCCCCCCCCCCACAAGAAAATTCAGGTCAACTTTCCCCAAAAAGTATTTTTCTTCAATTTGAAACGCAAAATTTTCTACCATCTTGTTGAGGATTTGTTCAGTTAGCAATTGTTTAGTAATTTTTTATGTATAATGATCTTGGAAATATTAAATATCAAGAAAACAACCTTGAAATATATGTAGTTACAAACTAAACAGACATGGTTTATCCATTGAAGTATAACTTCATCATTAGCAAGTGTCAGTTTTGCAGCTTTTGAATTTGCTCTGTTCAGGAGTACCGTAAATAAGCACTTCCAAATTTCAATCCTATTTTGAGACTTGACATTTCTAATCATGGATAGAATCCAAATGCTTTAAAGATGACATGCAATTAAGAACATGTACATACCAAATGCTGAAGTTCTGTCAGATTACGACAAACTATGTGGAAAACACTAAGCACGAGACTGAGATACATCTGATAAAAATCTACAGAAAACTCGGAGGGGGCAGATCTCATCAAGATTCTCAGCAACTCATCTGTAAACAAGAAACTTATTGGAATTAGACAAGTAAACCTGTACTAAATATGAATGCAATGAATTGTACATGTACGGTACAGACTGAAAGAGGTATAAAGAAGGCCAAATAATCTTATAATGATTTTTACACAGTTTTAAGCTTTCTGGCCCCCAGGATTATGAAGTATTTTTAGACTTAAGTCAGAATTTTCACACTGACTAATGCCCTGTTCACAAGGAGAGTTTAATTCGCAGTAAATTAATGCGAAGTAAAATAATGCGAATTAAATTGCGTTCACACGACAGATAATGCGAAGTAAACTAATGCAAATTAAAATTTTATTTTTACAGTAAGGCTTTTCAGTAAGGCTATTATGACGTCATTTTCAAATCACGTCACCTTATGCAGAGCAAATCCATTTGACATAATGTCTATACACATTTCAGTGATTAACGTATTTTTCCTTTGTTTTGCACTAAAAATGGCATAGGTACCTATAACTGACCACCGTCATGTGGCAGGTGACTTAATTTTGCCATTACGCATGCGTCAAAATTTAATTCGAATTAGCTTCGCTTAGCGTTCACACGGAGCTAATGCTAAGTAATTTAATGCGCAGTAAACTAATTCGCATTAAATTCTCCGTGTGAACGCGGATCAAATTTAATTCGCAGTAACTTATGTTTAATTCGAATTAAACTCTCAGTGTGAAAAGGGCATAAGATTTATCATAGAGACCATGAAAATTGATTCCCTTCAACTTTAAAAATATCAATCAAAAATAAGTACAGTTGATCCATTATTTCAAAAGTAATCAATATTTGGGGAAAAAAGGTGAGCCTCTTCTTGACAAACCTTAAATCAATCTTGCTAAATTAAACCAATATCATATATAAATTGTGCCTGTTTTGGAGGGTAACAATTGAAATTGACACTCCTTGGAAAACCATTGTCAACCAATGGCTGCGCCTCGGTTGACAATGGTTTTCTTTGGGTGAAAATTTTCAATGTTACTCTCAACTGCAGGCAATATTTATTATATTATACTGAATGTTTTATACAAATACATATAACAGTTAACCTTGTGCGCATAAATTCTGCGCAGTCACTATTTTTTTGGAATATCACCTGTCGTTAAACAATGTTGACCGTTGCTACGCTGGAGGACGTGCTTCATCATTCAGCGGGTAATCATGTTTTTTAACAAATGTTTCTCCACGAATCAGATTCAACTAATTTACATGAAAGTATAATATTACTGATTGTTACGAGGGGCATTTCAAAAGTTCTGGCAACTGGTGTGCGGTAAATTAATGAGCGTCATTATCATAAATTAAATTATATCAATCCCTCAAAATAGTCTCTGTTGACCTGGACACACTTTTTCAGTCTTGAAATCCACATGGAAAATGCTGCCCTATAGTCCTCTTTCGGTATACGCTTCATACACTGGAATACGGCACTTCCGACTGCATGACGACTTTCAAATCGCCGTCCTCGGAGGGCTCCTTTGATAACAGCATTCAACCAAAAATCGCATGGAGCTAGGTCAGGACTGTAGGGTGGATGTGGTAAAACGGCAATACCATTTTCCTTTAAATATTTGGTTACTAACTCTGATCTATGGGCAGGTGCATTGTCATGGAGGAGCTTTATTCCTCTAGTATTGGTTGTTGGCCGGGTTGTTTTATAGTGCTCTACAACCTGAGACAAGACATTCTCTGCATAAAATTGACCAGTAACACTGCTGTGTTCTGGAACTGGAACTTAAGCAACAGGGCCTTTAGAATCAAAAAATAAGGTGTACATTACTCTCCGGACAGACCGGTTTTTGCGTACAATTTGAGGCCTTGTATCATTTTCACAGATCCAAACTTTATTATTGAGCTTAGTTTCCGGTTCAAAAAAATATATCCATGTTTCATCACCAGTTACAATCTCATTTATTTGCCTTTGGTCACAATCTTCATAAATTGTTAGTAACTGTGAAGCCATTTCTACCCGGATGCGCTTTTGCTCTTCCGAGAGGAGATGCTGCACCCATCTAGCACAGACTTTCCTAAGCTTTAAGTTTTCCTTTAAAATACGAAAAACTGCTGACGAATTAATGTTAGTTAAGTCTGCTATTTCCTCAACTGTATATCTAGCATCATCAGCTATCGTATTTTGAACAGCGATGATTTCTTTTTCGCAATATGTACAAACTGGACACCCCGAATGGGGGTGATCTTCAATTGATTTTCTACCCTCTTTAAATTGAACTACCCATCTTGCTATTGCTCGATATGAAAGAGCATGCTCTCTATATACTACATCTAAATCGGCTTTTATTTCTGTTGCCGTAAAGCCAAGCAACGAGCGAATTTTGCAATACGCTCTTTGCTCAACAAAAAAATTGTTCTCCTTATCAGTCATTTTTACGCCCAGTATACAGAGTATACCTAATTATGACATCATTTTAGCGGACCTATACGTCATTTTGAATGTAAAATGACGTCACTACTAATGCATATTTGCCTAAGCTTTACAGTGGTATCAGAGTCATTTTAATCCGTAACGTAGTTAAAATTTTATATACCAGTTGCCAGAACTTTTGAAATGCCCCTCGTATATGTGTCTAAACCTACATGTATTTAACATGAAAGTATAATAAATTGAGATGTCAGTGTGTTGCATACAACTGGCATAAGCATAAAACTTTAAACTTTAATATACATGTACATTTCTTCAAATAAAGTACTCATGCAAGAGTTGTCATGAAATTTTCTTACTTCCATTGAATTGACATAGACCAGTAATTTTGTCAAATGACACATTCTTGCACAATATAAGGAAACTATTTCTTAAAGAGAACAATAACATTACTCCATTCACATACATGTAAATCTATGTAATGATATTAGGAATTTTAAATTATATTGGGGGGGGGGGGGGGGATTTCTACTAGATGTGGGTGTGCCTTCTCTTACCACAAAATTTAGATATGTTTTAAGTCCCTGCATGGATGCAATTATCTCTAGCTTGTGAGAACAAGAAAAGAAGTAGCATTTATAATATCAGTTACTATACTGTAGGTAAACCTTTTTTAAGTTACTAGTTTGGTGTCTTTGGAACATTCCTTCCTGTGCTAATTATTAAATACTGCCTTAAATATGCTTTAAAAATATAATACAAAAAAATACTGATTGTGTTATGACAGCATCAACAAGTCCCTAACATATATTTGGCTAACATTTGAATACTAAGATACATTTAAGTACAGGCATACATTTCTCTCATTTTTTACAAAAGTTGTGACCCTAAAATGACCACAGCGAAATTCCACTGCTTACTAATCATCAGGCAAAATTATAAAACTCCCCACTATAAAACAATTAACATTCTATCCAGATTACATCAAAAATAATGAACTTAAAGAATGTTGGAAACAGACAATTTTTTCAAACAATAGTTTTAATAAGTAATAATCTGCCGGTACCCAGAACTTTTACCCTGCTAAAATCAAAATTGTACCAGCCGAAATATTTGTTGGAGAAAAATTTTATAACATATTTAGTTAAAATCAGTTCCACAAGGTACCTCCTTTTTTTGTAAAAGTACCACCTGTTTCTAATCTTTTTGAAAGCCCTAGTTCAGTTTGATGCCAGTGATTCCAGAGCTAAAGATCCTTAAGTGCAATGCTTAGTAAATGATGTTAAGTATGTAGCATACCTTTGTTGTAGTCAGGGAAATGTATTATATAAGGCTCTGGAAAACCTGTTCCACAGAGAAACTTTTCCCACACAATCTCACTTAACAAAATCACACATACATTTCCATCAACCTGCAAAACAAATGCCACATATTCAAGTTTTAGCTATACAACTATTTTATGATATCACTGATATTTGTAAAATTATCCTTCATATGCAGAAAAATCATAAATGTGTTTTTTTTTTAAAGTTAAAAAAATGACAATAATTTTACTATGAGTATCATCTTCACTAGTCAAGGGTTTCTGATACGCTACTCTCCTCATAAACCCTTGGCATACGGTGCTGACAAAAGACGGGATTGTTTTTGTCAAGTGATCATGATTCTTACCAAGTACGCACAGATTGCGTCATCGACAGAAATAAAAAGCGTATTTAAAAAATTTTGTTTTTAAAGAATAATTAACAAGAAGGTATTGAGTTATGTTAATTTGTTATTTAAACATGTAAAAATGCAAATCTACATCTTCAGTATAGATTCTTAATCACATATTTTGCACGCAGCTTTAGATATTGGATGACACCATATAGCTATTCATAGAATGGCATGTTATCTTACGGATCATTGTTTACTTGAGTTTTACATTACCGATATAAAAGAGTCAAGATATATCCCGAACGCAAATATCGTCATTTACAAAAAACAATTGCTGATTGGTCGAACGATGTCGATCAACTCCAATCACAACTTGAGAAAAAAAATCCCAACTTTTTTTAACACCGTATGCCAAAGGCTTATGAGGAGAGTAGCGTATCAGAAACCCTTGGCTAGCGAAGATGTATGAGTATATGTTACAATAATACTTTACCATAATCTAAAGTATTATTTGTATTGTTTATTGCTAAAAATTTTCAGTGATAATACCAGTTCTTGCAATCGTAAAAAAGCTGGTAAAATGTTGGCATCCATTTCCCTCAAACGTTCAGCTTTATCTAGAACCTGAAATATCATTCAATTATCATGTTAGGATTATTTCTCTAAGTTACGTACACAAATAAAGATTGTGGATGAAACTCTTGCAAATTTCTTTAAAAAAAAGCTTCAACCATGTAACTAGGAAATGCATTACTGTAAATGTAATTTTTCCTCAGGGTCACATTTCCATGGAATCCCAATTTCTTTCAGTCCGCAGGTGGAAAAACACAAATTTCTTAGACTGTCACTACATTTGTCTTAAATGCACACTGTATACTGTGAAAAATTTCTGTGGAAGTTCACCGCCTACATAGTGTAAATTAATCCCACAAGGAAAAAAGTACTTCTACAGTATTTGGGTGAAATATGAACTACAAGTATTAACATAATAATGTTATGCAATCATGATTTAATGTACCATCAAATTTGTTAGCTCAAAGTCAATGGGACTGAGAAAAAAAAATTGGAAATATCCAAGGGTTCAAAATATTCAGGGTAAAATTCATAAAGAAAGTGGGATTGGTACTGCCAACTCATTTTGACAAATCCATGGTATTTGAGATATCAATATTCGAGATACCGAAGTTGAACTGTATTTTTGGAATTTCAGAAAAGCATACATGTATATGAAAAGATACCTGATTGTATATACAAGGGTAAAATGAGGCAATGCTTGCATGAAAGGTAGAAAAATCAGGACTGCTAAAAATTTAAGTATTGTGGAATCATTTAAATTCAAAGGGGCCAATTTTCGCAAATTGCTTAAACTTTCAAGGTTCTTGGGGATAATTTCGTGTATTCACTAATACCTACAAAAGAAAAAATGACTTTGAAACTCTAGTTTATCAATGCATGGAGGATGTTAATTCATAGATGAAGGGTACTCATGAATTCCATGAATATTGAGCCACCATGCATCTAATGATTCATTAGTACATTGGGCCAGCATTTTTTCATTTTTAGGTTTATACATTTAATATTAGTATACACAAGTACAGAATATGACTTCATGATAAGATTGATTTGGATGTGTATTTACAAAATATTACAATGTTTTATAATTTTTTTTTCTCTTCCCCAAATGAAAATCAAAAGAAGACTTTATACATGTACACAAGATTTTCTTGGCCCCTGAAACTTCTAAAGCCACCAAAAAGTTGCAGCATGGTCCAAAAGCAGCAAAAATTTCATCCAAATCTTAACGACTTTCATTCGGTTCTGAACCCAAATTTGATGTACATTTACAGGTTTATACTTACAAGGTATACAGTCTCGTTATGCAAATCAAGATTCATGCATATCTGACGGAAAAGGCGGACAAAGTCATTCATATTTTCACATTTGATGGGTGTGTCTGGTTTTTGGGAGCCTCTGTTGGTGTATAGACCATTTAGGACTGTTTCATACAGAAACCTGCTGCTATAGCATTCCACACAGTTCACCAGCACATGGGGTAACTATTAATTATAAACAAAAATTCAATTAAGCTAAGACTTTACCATGGTAACCAAATCAAAGAAACTGAATCAAATTCATTTCCTAATTGAAGTCATTATCTCAATAGTAAGCCTTCATTTTTACTGTGGAAACATAAAATTTGAGGAGGTAAATTTTCCACAATTGCTCCATTTGTGAATATGATTTGAATAAACACCTAATAAAGAAAACTTTACATGGAATTTTTTGATAGACTGCTAACCTTGATTATTCACATTAGTACTTTGCTCAATAGCAAAAGTGAAGCATTACATATTTTGTGTAAGGATTAATTGAAACTGTAATTTCAAGGACCTAGGATAAAGAGAAAATTCACAAAATTTGATTCAACAGTGTTTTTTTCTTATTACCATACAAGTCCTCAGAACTGAATTAACAACAGCAGATTTTCCAGTGGCTGTGTGTCCATAAATAAATAAAGCAGGGAGGGTCATATTGCTCCTCTACAATGTAAAAAAAAAAAGTACATGTAAGACCAACTTGAATAACATTAGCTTTAGTACAATACTATAATATCTCTTAACCAGCTTATCAACACTTTGTCGGAGATATTTAGAAATTTTTTTAACATGCAACACAGCATTGTGACACAAGTCCTTATTGTCTGTGTGTTCGCAGGAGAGATGGAAAAGCAATTGATACATGTAGTACATGTATTGCCCATTTAAAAATTAGACTTCAAAGTTGAAAACTTTCACTGCAACTAAGTGCAACTCTTTTTACATCCTGAGAAAATTGCACATTCAAGAAAACAGAATGAAAAAATATAGCTAAATCAAGCTATTTTGAATAAATAAATAAAGCTATAATGGTATAGCTAATTAAAGCTTTATAGATAAATCGAGCGATCAGGGTTCAACACTAACATTTTTAGGCTTTAATCCGGCCGGACTAGTGCTTTTTCACTTTTACTAGTCTGCATTTTATGTGTCTGTTAAAAAAGGAAACATTCATGTTTTGTAACAATTAATTTATAAATGAACATTACCATCTGTACTTTTTTTAAATAAACAAAGCATTAACGCGAAGTGTATATTCCACATTTTTGTTGAAATCTTAGCGATCAGGAAGTACCATTGTATTCCCGATCTTGTTCTTTTTTTTCTATGCTTTTGTGTGTCATGCTTAATCATGATCACTAAAACATTTAACATCAATCAGTCGTAAAATTAAGCACTGGATTGATTCGGAATTAAGTAACTACCCACCAAGAAGCTAGAAAGCTAAAAATACATGCAGGCCATGATTTTCCAGTAAAAGTTGTCAAGAATCCAACATCAGAAATTCATTCATTTTGTTTTCCAGAATTTTTTTTTTTGGCTTGTTTGGCCTAATAAGCCAAAGATTTTATTAGTCCAAGTGAAAATGCATTAGTCCAAGACTAACAGACTAATGTTAATGTCGAACCCTGGCGATTGTGCCAGACCTCCCTTCAACAGGTCTGGTAAAATCACTAGATTTAGCTACATAGCTTGATTTACCTACCTAGCTTTATTTACCTACTTCAAGTAGCTATATAGCTACTAAATAATACTTATCTCTTAAATTAGCATATTTTTCTGGATGTACAAAAAATAGCACATTGATGCAGTGATAATTTTCAACTTTGAACTGATCTAAAAACATATCATGTAAAAATCACTGTTGAAGATGTGTCTGTTTTTGCACAATTCCAATCAAACTTCTAAAAGTTTTGGGGCTATATACAACAGTTAATTTGTGACCAAACAGTTACTTCTTGAATGAAATAACTAAGAAGACTAGTACTGGACTACTGGTTAACATAATTATTGGTTGGTAATAATTCAGCACAATTTGAAGTAATCATACTTATCCATGCCTCACCGCACACAAGTTGGTGTACTACAGTTACTCAAACAATAGAAAAAACATCTTTTGCTTAAAAGTGTTCAAAAGCAGTAATGTTTAATTTGTAATTTTTTTTTTAACTTGTAAATATGTTATTGTTATACATAAAGGAATAGCATCTTTGTTTGTATGAAAGGCCCTAACCATGGAGCCTGATTAGTGCCCAATCTTAGAGCCTAATTAATGCCTTAATTATGGCACCTAACAGATTTTCTAAATGTATTAGGTGTTTTGACACCTAACAATGGTGCAGCGGCCCTAATACTTGGAGCCTAATGCCCTAACGGGTGCCCTAATCATGGAGCCTAACGCCCTAACAGGTGCCCTAAGTATGGAGCCTAATGCCCTAACGGGTGCCCTAATGACGTTAGGTATCAGAGTATATATAAGGAGAGAGAGATATTGAATAAAAACAGATAGTTTGTACTTGATATGTAAACTGCGATTGGATATTATTATACTCGTTGAAGCAAACTCTGTTGTTGTTGTTTTTTATTAGATCTATAAAGATCTATAGTTCCTAACTTAAACACAGGCTCCACAATATTTTGTGACACGGGGACATTGTGAATAGTCACTTCTTAAGGACTGGTTCTTAGAGTTACCGTCCGCATAAACCCTGAAAAACGTAACAAATTTATTTTTGCTCTGGGTTGCTTTATTAAAATTCCCTAGTATAAACTATACATATTAGTAGTCATATACTTGCGATTTTCTTTCTTATTTGAATAAAAAGCAAAATTGTGAAAAGAGTAATTGAAATAGCTAAATAAAGCTACTTCGAGTAGGTAAATAAAGCTATGGTAGGTAATTCAAGCTACGTAGCTAAACGTACTGATTTTACCAGTCTGGTCGAACCCCCGAAAGGGAGTATACCCCCAAACGAGGGTTTTCCGTCCCGTCATGCAATGCGCAAGAACAGTAACTCTTGCCGTCTCCAATATAAACAAACTTGCCTATATCATTTATCTTAGGAAAAAGATCGATAATAATGTTATTTCTGCTATGAACTTGGTAAAATATTAACAGAAAAAAATTAACAGGTTAAGTTTTCCATAGTTTGAATTTATAATGTAGGAATAACAAAATATTTTCCGTCATTTCATGAAATTATTTATTATTTTGTAGGATGTCTCAATTAGGATTATGGAATTTAAAACACAAGGAAAATATTCCAAGAATGAGGAAAATTTTAATTTAGAATCTAGATTTAAATAAATTAAATAAAATCGTGTTTTTCCCCAAACAATCGTATTTATTAAAAAAAAAACTACAACAACAAGTTGCTAAACATATCATTTAATTCTTATAAGATATAAAGACAATAAATACGATAGATTTCATTTGAATTTTATTTTTATATGTATTTTTGTTACACTTCCTGGGCATGATTATCGATAATAAAGACCGTCGATTGCTAGTCAGAAGAAACGCGGACTGAAACCCACGATCATAAATAAATCGATATTAGCACCATTTTTTCTAGCATTTTATTATGAAAATAAAAGATATATGGTAGAATAATACATTTTTTTCATAATTTTAATTTAATATTAGTTGCTTATGTCTGTTTATCGAATATTTTATCTTAAATACCTGCATGTCAAGGAGCAAAAGATCGCCAACTTTGCCAATGAATAAATCCCGATTTGCACAATAAAGTTGTATTTTTGTAAAATACAAACTCTAAAAACACCTTTAATCTATAATTTCCTAGTGGTTTTACATTTGCCAAATAATCCGTTTCTTTGCACCGGCGATTTTTGTAAACCCCTACTTTTTGCGTGAAATACACACATTTTAAAGCATCTGCGCATGCTCGTACCCCCGTTTGGGGGTATGGATTTCCCACTTCCGTTTACCCCCGTTCGGGGGTTCGACCAGACTGTTTACTGGACCTGTTCAAATGGTTCAAGTACTTAACAAATTCACCTCTCCAAATAACGATAATAATAATTTGATTTGCGACCCTCTGCAAGGTAACGACTCTTTTAGTAATGAAACTTCACAGATATCCTCTTCTTCTTCTTTGTGACATTCCATGTTTTCCGTAGATCGAGTTGCTCCACTCCACTCGGACTTCCCACCAAAACTCAGGATGTGTTTGCTATTGTTGAGACAACGAGCCCGATGCTTAAACTTGTTGATTTTTGCAATTACTTGTTCGCAGAAAACATTGACTTTTATATTTCGTTAGCAAATTTAATGGTACCTTTTCTTTCTTTTTTTAATTTTTCTTACTTACTTTTAGAGGCCGAGGGCGTTTTAAAACAATTGCATCTTCTAATAATACAGAATAACCTCATATGATTAAATATATATTGCTGAAGGGATCAATTATTGGCAAACATATAGTAGCATAGTAGCTTTGTTTGCTTTCTATTCTATATAGTATTCTATATGTCGGCAAAATTATTGGGGAGATGGGGGGGGGGGGCACGCCCCCCCCCGTGCCCCCCCCCCCCCCCCAGTTCCTACGGCCATGTTGTGTACAGTCTGACTAAAGCCAGCCCCTACTATTTCACTTCGTTCGTAGGTACCTACGAACGAAGTGAAATAGTAGGGGCTGGCTTTAGTCAGACTGATATTGTGTATTATCAAAGACTTATAAGGTAGTACATGTATTTAAAGACGTACAACACACTGGGGGAGATAACTCTTGCAATTTCAATTAAACGTTTAACTTGACGTCAAATTTGACGTTTATAATAAAGCGTCAAAATGACGACCGAATTGATCCCGACGTAATTAAAAGAAAATGGGATTAGGGACTTGATGTGGTTTCTTTAGAAATACCAAATCGTATCTTTGATTGTTTGCGCTTTTGATGTAAAACCTACCCCTCCTTTCATAAAAAGGGAAGAAAAGAAAGATGATGTCTTAAAATTTCTTTAATTTTATAAGAAACTCGTATCCGTGATCAATATTAGCAGAACAATATTCTTTATTTTTTTATGATACATTGCTTTCTTTTGTTACAGTTGGCTATGTAACATTCGCATTACCAGTTCACGGGCCTATCTTAAAATTAAGAATTAGCCATATAAATACTCTTTTGTTCTCCTTTTAAGAAAAAAAAAAGTTTTACGACCCGTTTCCAAAAGTTCACTGGTCAAAGAGGAACAACTCTAAAAATGTGGGAGATTTTCCCCTTCCCATCTTGAGTTATTTACTCCTGTTTGCCGATCAGTTATGAAGACACATTTACAATGAATTCTGATGAACTCAGGAACTGAAAACTATAATATATACTAAGTAAGTACCGAAAATGCAATAGAATTGTTTACTGAAATGGTCCGAATTAATGAATATCTTATATGCGTCAAACTGGCCATATCCGACCATCTAGATCTACGATCTACCTCTGTAAACAATTTCAGTGCGCATTTCCTCGAATCAAAACAAAACGTTATTTTGATACATGTATCACTGTACATGAATATTTTGACACATGAATAATTTACTATAATTTAATTAAACATAGATGGAGAATTTACAGTTTGATAAATTGAAGTTAATGTAGACGAATACGATATATTTCCATTTTATCTACGGAAGCAAAAGAAGGATGCATACAAGTGTGTGTGTGTGTGTGGGGGGGGGGGGGTTACTTTTAGACCCCTCTCTTGTTTGAAATAAATAAGAAACAATATATTCCATTTACCAGTCTGTTTACATCATAGAAGAGTTGAATTTTCAACATTGTGCATTCACTTTTAATGAAAAATGAGATTAAAATTCAATGTAAGTTGAATTCATACGCAGGTATAAAATTAAATGCATTTCAGCCATGTGTATGGACTACATATTGGACACGTGGAATTAAAATCCTTAGAGAATAAGTTTTACTTTTATTCTAGTAGTTGATAGTTTAACTCTTATTCTAGTTGTCAGAATTTTAATCTGCATGAATGAATGAATGAATGAATTGGTACTTCAGGGATTTAAAAGATTAAAAATATATCTCGAGGTAACCTATGTTTCATCAAGTTCTAATGACTGCGTCCAAAAAAAAAGGGGGGGGGGGGGCTTCGTCAAAAATTGCCTATACATCTGCATTTCAATGAACTGAAAAGTTTTAAGAACTCCGATATATAATGTAAATAATTTTTTTTAAGCAAAAAATATTTTCTAGCTTGGAATTTTTCATGTGTATTTGTAGATCTAACAACGTTTTCGTCCCACATCTGAAAGACGCTTGAGAAACGTGACTGAAGGAGAAGGGGGGGGGTGATTTTTCGCTATAAATTCAAAACGGCTCGTTTAAAAAAATTACAAAAAATTATCAAGATTACTTTTGCAACCAGTTACATGAAAAAAGTATTTTTTCCAAAATTAAACGATAGGTTTTTTCATAAAAAATATTTAAATTAAAAAATACGCATTTTTTTAAGGCATAAATGAACCATAGTTTTTCAGTTTAAGTTCTTCAAAAAATATTTTGTCAATGAGTACCTCTACAAAAATACTTTATTTGAGTGGATAATGGTTATATGAATGAGTCGATGAAATTTGACGGCCAGACTAGCTCAACTTTTTTGATAATCAAGGATTTTATAGCCAGCCGAATGAAAATTTCTTCTCCGCGTGTACAACCAAAGGGGGGTAACTTTTGGAACTTCCTGTCCAAATACGACTCGAACGATTTTGTCCAAAATGAGCATACGCATTGTATATATAGTCATGTGTAACATATGCAAAAATAGCGAAAATTAAACGACAGGAAATTTTTCGTGGTGGGTGTGTTGTACGTCCTTAAGTGTAATTATGAAGCTATCTGCATAAAAATACCATAAAATCAGAATTCTTTAGTGTGTAGGGCTCTTAAATGCCCAAAAAGATTCAGAGAAATGAAAGATCATGCACAGTTAATATCGATTTGTAGTCAGGGTGTCAAAAGTCAGTCACGTCGAAAAGTGGTATTGATCATGTGTAGTAGAAGTTGAACTCCAAGTATTCTGGTATCAGTTATCAAGTGAGAATCTTTCCCTATGTATAGATCCATTTACAATACTCGTATATATGCATTGAAAGCAGCTATTCATGACATTGTAAAGTCATATAAACATGTTTAAACTTTAAAATATAGCACGAGGGCGTTTTTGATAGGGATTCGGCAGGAATCTGCATGGCCGAAATTGAAAAGTGAAATTCATTGTCAGTGCGACATATGATATTCTTTGCTTCACTTCTTTTAAACCCCAAATTTTGTATGCAGCGATGAAACATATGGCTCTAGCTGTCATGTTTAAATCTTGTATTATTACATAAATAATGGTATAAACTTGGTTTAAGTAAGTAAATATCCTTTTATTAATCTGTACGTCATTTTTGTTTTTATTGATGGAAGAATCATGCAACTGCTTATGAAATCTTTTATGAATACTGGTGGCTTTGAAAAACCGGTTCTAACTAGTAAAGAGTTCCTATTTTTAATGGATTGGTGAAGGGAAATAGTTTTCATATGGATTAAAGAAGATAAAATTCATTGGATGTACATTCTGAAAAGTAAACTGTAAAACCTTGACAACAAGAAAGAGGCCTAATCGAAAAACCTACGATATTCATAAGAGGGGGGGCGTTAGGTTCCAACTTTCTTTTTTCGAGATGACACATTCTTTCGGATGCATTAATGTCAGTGGTAGGCAAGTTGAGAGGGAGGGGGCGATCGGACTTTAGATGAAAATTTCCATATTAAATAAACAGCAAAAGATTATTCTCAGAAAAAGCCCACTCTCACTCCCCGGATACTTCGTGTACGTGCCTGAAAAAAAAATCAATTTTCTGACTCTGTATATGGAATTATTTCACTCACGAGACAGGATAAAATACCCGCTATCGCTTGTAGATTGTGCATTTGAGGGTCTGTACATGTAGGATTAAAATACAACATGTACCTGTGATTTAGGTCCCAAAGCCCACTGCTTTGTGCATGGTCCCTTATTCAAGTATGTATAGGATTTACAGAAGATTAAATGCATGTATGAAATAGTTCCTTATAACATGCTGAGGTCAATTCCACATACATATGTTTATTATAGATAAGTCAAATTTAGTGTACCGTTCTTATACAGCAATTAAATATTTATTTTAAAAAATACGTTTAGCTACGAGTGACTTATACTTAACACTAACCCGAATTTTCCATGATGTTGCATGGTTAACCAGGGAAAAAAAGAAATAAATAAAAAGCAAGGGTCAAGATGCCCGAGATAATTCACAAATTACAGTTGCCGGCGCGGGTGGTTACTCCCATAATTGCATGTGGAGTATCAGCTTGACCTGAGAGTTCATTCGAGATTTCTTTTTCCACTACTGTGAGGCAGTAATATAATGTGTGAGACACTTTGAACGCATTAAACAGACCTTGAAAAGATGCAATTATAAAAAAAATTTTATAGGCTTACACGAATTCTCGTGTTCAGATCTGCTCCAAATATTGCACTGGCCTCAAACTGTTTTATTCATTTGATAAATGAGTGTAGGAAAAGAATTAAGTAATATACACGTAAGATATCCATAAAAAAGGAATCAAGTATTTGAATAAAGAATTCTTTTGAAAGCTGGACCAGTGGCTTACATAACGTTATATATTAGACTCTACTTCTGTAATTTAATTTAAGAATATAGCCTATGTTTCCTGGGGAAAGAAAATGCAATAATATTTCTAAAAAAAAAAAAAGTTAAAATAGAGAATATCAGAATCGTAGTACATAAAATGTTTGTTTTTTGTTTTGTTTCTTTTAATTATTATTTCAGAAAATAAACGAAATACATATGCAATTATTAAGGGATTCTCTCTGTATTATCTCCGCAATCTCAAAGGCCCAAGGGCGGATCCAGGAATATTTCTCGGGGGGGGGGGGGGGGGGAGATAGCTTATAAAATAAATAGACTCCATTTTGTTTCGACAAGCAAATTAGTTTAACAAATGAATAAGAATAAATTATTTAAAAATATATATATAATCATATAAATAAAAAAATAAATCAGTAAAATAATTTAAACTAAAAATTAAAATTGTTAAACATGAAAAATATCATGTGTAGTAGAAGTTGAACTCCAAGTATTCTGGCATCAGTTATCTAGTGAGAGGGGTTGGGAGGTTAGTTACTTCTCATGGACAACCTGAGCTACTTGCTTTCATATATACATGTAAGTTTTCTTACTAACTTAGAGGGGCCCTTGTTTCCTATATAGGGATACAGTGTCATTTTGGTGACTTTACCAAATTGATTTTAAAACATAACTGGAACCCCCATCCCACCCCAAGTGGACTTGACACTGAATCTGTGTCTCTATTTTGTCGCTTTCAGTTGTCTTTCGGTAACACCATTAAACGAATCCAAACAGACATGTGTGCAGTATTATCCTATTGTATTAATTTATACATTGTAACTATGTTAAAATCTAAACAATACAGAGTTGTGGTTTGAAGAAGGGGGGGGGGGGTGTTAAGATGATTCAGCAACCTTCAAAGTACAATATTCGCATGGCCCTTCAGGCTTGGTATGCTTAATCGCCGTATTTGCCAATAAACAGCAAAAACTGAGTAGAATATGTTATCATATTTTGGACATTACATAGCACATAATATTGGTATTTACCACTCTTTCAGATATATATACAAGTTCTATAAATTGAAGGTGAAAGTACACCTCACTTGATATTAATTCTTAAATAAGCATTGGCATGATGTTTTGTTTTATTTATTTAATTAATCATTTTTTTTTCTAAAATTATGTTCATAAACTTAAAAAATATCTCCAAACCATTATAGTTATATGTAAAGTATGGAGATTCCTTCTTATTTATGAAGAGAACTGCATGTTTAAAAGGTCAAGTGCAAGTGCATTTTTGATATGGAAGTTTCAAAATCTCAGCATTCACGTCTGTAAACCGCAAAGATATTTGTTCGCCCACACACTGTGGTAGTAGATCTGAATTAAATTTTGTTCAAATAGCTCTGAGTATAATTACTGAATTCGATATTCGACATAGCAATGAATAGTGGCGGGGGAAAAACTCTTCAGACAGCCCTGTAGCAACGTTTCAAAAGTGCGGGAGGGGGGGGGGGCTTCTAAAAAAAACAGCTCCTTATAACTGTCAAAATTCTGGAATTTATCAGTGATCGACTTTTCAGCAACAAAAAGTTTGTGTGTGTGGGGAGGGGGGGGGGAGGGGCGGGGCGACCAGCATCTAAATGAAAATTTACTATAGCAAAAATGTTATACTCAGAAAAAAAGTTGTTCCCTCGGGGCGTTCTACGGGCCTGTCAGATATTTGTAAGAATGGATCTTAACATCGGAGAGAGAGAGAGAGAGAGATAGAGAGATAGAGAGAGATTGCTTATATAATTCAATAATAAGAAGGGAATTATTTATTATAGTGATGTGCGAATTTTATATAACAAAAATAATCAAACACACAGTTATCAATCATTCTGCATCCGAACTATTGAACGTACAAGTTACATCTGACACAACGTTCAAATTTTTATCAATTAATTATATATGAGTAAAAAATGGATCAATATATAGTACCCTAGCTGTTCTTTAGATACAGATTACACATATTTTGAGGCAAATAACTATAGGGAATTAAGGGGTAGAGTGCTTATAGCTAGGGCGCCCATCCTAAACCCGCCGCTCTCTGGTCAGCTGTATCATTGTTATTTAACACATATGTTCACTCAGTCATTAAAATCAAATCAATGCGTGAACACTAGAAGAACAAGGTTTATAAAAATAATTTCAAACAGGTTTACTGGGCCACAAAAGCGTAATCCTTCAGTAGGTTTCTCTTATTAGTCTGAAGGTCATCACGTGTATATATAGGGACGAAGCAACTTTTTTTCAAAGGGGTGCAGGGGGCCGGGGGGGGGTCAAAGTGTTAAAAAGACAAACAAAAGTGCCTTTGAAAACTTTGACAAGCTAAAAATTGTTGGGGTACTCCCCCCCCCCCACCTCAAAAAAAAGTATTTAAAAAAAAAAAAGTGGGGTTCAACCCTTAACCGATTTAACCTTTAATTAATGAAAATTCTCATATTAAAATATGCGTAATAATTTTCTTGAAAAAAGGTGGAGGGGGCAGACACCCCTCCCCCACCTCCGGTACTATACGTGCCTGTGGCCACCCTATAGGTCTAAAGATAATAAATTAGTGTTCATAAAATAATCAAATAATGCTCATGTGTTATGCATGACGAAGTGTGGAAAATAGCAAGCAGGACTTGATAGGTTATGCATGTACTGTAGTTGTTTTTCATTTCATATTAAAATTTAAAAGTTAAGATTTATAGATAAAAATGTAATGGAGGAATAAAATAAAGAAAAAGAAAAAATCATGCAAATTTAGTCAACCATACTGAAATGTATTTTAAAAAAATTAAAAAATCATTATAGAAGATCAAATTTTTGAAAGAAAAAGTGAATATAATCAAGTTTTCAGGACAGCTTTTAAAACTGATATGTATACATACAAAGCTACAACTTTTGTGCCTGAAAAAAGACAAACTGATATACTGAAAAAGTAAGGAGAATGATTTATTGGTTTACATGGCAATACTTTTTCAATAAACATATGCGCGGATCTAGAGAGAGAGAGGGGGGGGTTCGAACCCCCCACCTGGAATTTGCAGTTATTAAATGTATATAGTAAAGCAACTAAAAGTGACCTCGGAGCCTCCTAGACAACCCGGACCCCCGTTAAGTTGGTAGGTAAAGTCATGTATATGAAGAAGTGAAGTGGAGCGGCTTTTTGTTCTTTTTTTTTTCTTTTTTTTTTGCTTGTCAAGAAAATTCTGGGTTGAATTTTTTGGACTGGGGCTGACCAAACTCCCCCCCCCCCCCCCCCCCCGGAAAGATTTTCTGGACCCGATCCTGAAAAAATTAAATAAATACATGTAAGAACTAAAACAGCAATCTTACACAGGCGTACGGAAATGACAACGCTAGCTATAGCATGCTTAATTGCTGATCTTTTTTAATTAAAAAAAAGTCCCCACTTAAAAGGACATAGATCTAGAGCATTTGTACAGGTCATGTATGTATACATAGTTTTATTGGACTTTGTTAAATTAATTATAATCAATTGATAATAATTATTAAAAAATTATTATTATTTTTAAAAAAAAAAATATTACTTTATATTTTAAAAATAATTGAAGCATTAAAACATGTAGCCCATAGTGCAAATTCCGTTAAATACATGCAATAATTATTTCTAATAATATACATGTTTGCACAAAGATTGATTAATAATAATAATTAATTTTATTTCAAGAAAGATATCGGAGTTGAAATATACTACATTCGAGCTTATAAACCATGTGCTGTACATGTACCGACTGTACCGAGTGTATTGACAACATAAACAATACCCCGGCCACGTGTGTTACTAAAGTTGACAAACGTGTTCATTCAGGTGTGCCACAGGTAAATTACGGCGACACGATTGGTCGATTCCCACGCTATAATTAGAGAAAAAGTTGTTAGACCAGTCGGCCTACACGAGAATCTATTCTTAGATCAATCAATTCTTTAAGTTCCAAACCGGCTGTAGTGACCTCACCCTGTCTCCGGAACCAATTCTGAACTGACCAGCCAAGAGGGTTCACTTACTGCCAAACATGGATCAGAAATTCAACCCAGACACGGCAAGGGTGTATTATTTTCGGTACATGAGGGAGTACCGCGCTATATGTGTTTTATGGGGACTGTTATCCATTATTTGGTGTATATTGAACCTCGTGGCTTTTGTTCAGCCGCAGTGGATTGGTGATACCCCGACCAGCCCGGGGTTCGGCCATGTGGGGGTGTTCCAGCACTGCTACCCCGATAACTCCCAGGGGATCTACGTTTGCAGTGGTTCCTTCACTACGTTTGATTCCATTCTGAACGATTCCTTCAGAGCCACCACATTTTTCGTCGGAGTTTCAGCACTTATTATGCTTATCACTGTTGCGGCTTTATTACTCTTCTTCTGCTTTAAGAAAACGTTTGTCTTCTACTTCTGTGGCATCATGGAACTTATTTCAGGTAAATTAATTAGATTTGTTGCCTAATATTGCCTAATGAATCACACCTCGAAACTGTTTGTTAGAGGCGGGAGATTTAAATCCAAAGAGCTGGCTGTGATTTCTTTAATCAACTCATATTATATTGTATAATTTCTTCCTAAATTTGTTATAAATTAGATAATTGCAAAACTCGGAAAACTAATTCTCAGTTGCCTAATATTCCTCATACACAGTGCATAAAGGAATCACTGTACATGTGTAGGTTTGTTTTAGATGTAGATTGTTAACTAAAACAGAACTTATATATATATATATATATATATATATATATATATATATATATATATATATATATATATATATATATATATAAGACCATAAATCCACAGTGGTGGGTATTGCAGTATAATTAAAATAATTAAAATGAAAACACGAAGAAATTAACACAGTAAAGCATTAGCGCTTTCATTTACTGTCCTCAGATGCTTTACAAACAAGTTTACTGAGCATCTGAAGATTGTAAATGAAAGCACTAATGCTTTACTGTGTTAATTTCTTCGTGTTTTCATTTTAATTATAAATATAAATATATATATATATATATATATATATATATATATATATATATATATATATATATATATATAGAATGTTATGATAAAAGGGGGAATCAAAGCTAATGTGTCAGTTTAGTATCAACATGCGCCAAAAAAAATCAAACAACTTTGTATAAAAATAATACTCGTGCATGATTTGCTTTTGGAGTGATCAGTCAGATATATCCATAAATATATTTTAAATTGCAATTTTTAAAATGTTGTAATAAGTTACCAAATTGTTTTTTTTTTTTTTTTGACTTTTAGCTGTGTTTATGTTCCTGGCCTGTGTAATCTTCCCAAGTGGATGGAGCCAGTATGAGGTTCAGCAGATCTGTGGAGAATCGTCTGGGGAGTATCGGTTGGGATCGTGTAACATACGCTGGGCCTACATCCTCGCCATCCTGGGTATTTTTGATGCTGCAATTCTCTCTGTGCTGTCATTTTTCCTTGCTGCCAAGCGAGCCAAGCTGGACTATCTAACTCCCACTGGAGCTGTTACCAAATGTGAGTAGTTTACATTTTTTGTACTCATTGAATAAAGTTTTGTCACAAACTTTAACGAAAAGTGGGGGTTATTAATCAAGGTCTCTCTGTCAGGCAGTCTTTTATTCTCTAATGTTTAAGGTTACAGAAATAAGTCCTTGACCTTTTGCAATAAAAATTTATATGACCTTTTTGCACTGTAACTGTTTCTTACACATAAATCACATTTTCCTTCAATATTTTTCATCCTAATAAATCATGGGCCAAGGTACAGTCTCTATCTTGAATAGACACTGTTAAATCAATTGTGACAAAGAAAAAGTTTCAAATTAATTATTTGACCTTTTTGCACTCACAAAATGTTATTTTTTTGGGGGGTACTAAAAATTTAATGAGCAATAAAATCATTTTAAACTATTAATTATGCTTTTACTAAATTTAATACAGAATGGTCAAAGTAATTAGGGATGTGCGATTTTATCGGTATACCAGTTTATCGTGATTTTTTATTGCGTGATATGTATCCTGATACGGAAACTAAAATACCGGTATTTGGAACATAATTATAAATTCCAGAAACTACTCATTTATCATGTTTATTTGTTCGAACTATTAAATAAAAAATATGGAAAGTATTACAAAATGTTGAAAAGAGTTAAACTACGGCATCCAAACTTGCTTCATATTATATAGATAAAAATGAAAAAAGTAAACTTTCATTTTTACATGCAGTTATTTGTAAGAAAATATATGGAAATTCATTTGAAACTGTAGTAAAAATGCCGTGTAAAATATCCCGATTTTATCTCGATATAATTTTGGGAAAAAATCGTGATATATATATTTTTGGCGATACCCATCCCTAAAAATAATCATATATTCCAAAAAAAAAAAAAAGAAAATTTAAGTGGGGGTCTAGATGATGTTATTTATTTATTAGATATCACTAAAACAATTTCAATTTTAACATTATAAGCTACAATATGTACTAATATTGGGGCTATTTTATTTTATTGACTTTCACAATATATATTTGCTTTAGTTATGTGACAATTTGATGATAGAATTCATAATAGGTAATCTAATATATAATTCTGAACCAGAATAAAACAATTCACTGCATTTTAATATAACCATATAATTTAATTTTGTTTGTATTCTAGCCTCTGATTGGTTAATATCCAAAAAGGAACACAAATTATTTCTGTATAACCTGGTTTGGTATGGGGACACCCCCCCCCCACCCCCCCCGACAACCAGCTGAATCGTCTGTATCCATGCGATCATCTCATTTCTAGTCCTCGGGATTCATGGAAAATTCCAGATTTAATAAATGTACCTTTTACTTCGAACAGTAACTCGGATCTTACCACATGTAATCAAACAACATGGCTGCTAGGACTATGTATCAGTTTTTACCTCCCCTCGCTTCCCATCACTTCCGTTACTACGGTTGTATTATTGAGCGGCAAATTTGAACTAATAAAAAGCAACGAAATTTTACAACCACAGTTGTTTAATGATTTTAAAATTAAGGTAGTATGGGATACCTCCACGTTATGACGTATTTCCGTTTGAAGTATTGTTTTGATTTGCATGAGTGCTTATTATCGGGTCAAAATTTGTAGATACACCGTTGAAAAGAACAATCTGAAGCCTATTTCAATGCAAGTTCTCACAAGTCGGCATTTTAAGTAAAAACAGACAAAAAAATCGCAAGTATATAAATTTACTTATAATTGTACAACGGACATTTAAAAAAGCAAACCCCTGTAAAAGGTAGTTTCAACATTGCTGCTTTTGAACACTTTTAAGCAAAAGCTGTATTTCAATTGTTTGAGTAGCTGTACAGCACCTTGTGTGCGGTGAGGCATGGATAAGTGCGATTACTTCACATTGTGCTAAATTATCACCAATCAATTATCACGTTAACCAGAGCTGGACTTTTTTGTTATTTAATTCAAGAAGTAACTGTTTGGTCACAAATCAGCTAGCTATTGTATATAGTCCCAAAACGTTCAGATGAATGCAATTGCTCTGAACAAGACACCTCCTGGAAAGCGATTGTCCATGCATTGTTTTCAAAACCGCTCAAATTTGAAAACTACAAAGTGCGATTTTTTTATGGTTGGGAAAAAATGCTCATCATTTCTAGAATAGCACCCAGGTTTTTTCAACCCTTGGAAAATAAAGAAGGATAACTCTTCTGCTCGGATCTTTTAATTCAAAAAATTTTAAATGCATTTTATATTTTCCATTTATACAGTCCCTGAAACGTTCTACTTTCCCACTTGAACGGTGAGCGAACGCTGAACGAACGCTGAACGAACGCAGAGCGAACGGTGAGTGAACGATGTGTGAACGCTGAACGCAACTTGGTGAACGATGTGTGAACGGTGAACGGTGAGCGAACGGAGAACGCGAACGGAGCGCAAACGCGAACGCAAAGTGAACGGTGAACGAACGGTGAACGCAAGATGAACGATATATTCGGAATGCCTCTGATCTTTTCCTTGCATTGAAACTATTTTATTGTATTATAATGTCAGGTGCCAAAATAAATAAATAAATAAATAAATAAATAAATAAATAAGTAAACCAATAAATGAATGAATAAATAAGTAAATAAAATAAATTCTCCAAAATTGTCCTAAGAAAGACGATTCATGCACATTAAGTTTTTAATCACACGATTTTTAACGCATTAAAACATTGCAATTGTTGCCGAACGCTGAAGTATAAAAGATATTTTTTTAGTTGGAAAATAAAAATGTTTATTCTTATTTGATAACAAATCAGAGAAACTTTCTGACTTATAGAATGAATTAAAGCGATTGTAACATCCATTCATATATGTATCTCCGTGTCAAGGCGATTTCATGTAAAGTACTAAAAAAAATTAATTACAAAGGTCAGTGGACGTTTTGCATTTATACACTCGTATTTTAAATGTTTAATACAATAATATATTATGTGACATTTCTATTTTTCATGATGATTTATTGAGCCGACTTCTACATGTATCTGTAGATGGCCGTGATTATACTCAGACAAGATAATACAAAGATACATATTCATATTATTTGTTATAAATTCAATTTTCAGAACTTGATATTTAAGTAATATGCTGTTATAATTTTTATCAAACAGACAAATGAGAGAGAGAGAGAGAGAGAGAGAGAGAGAGAGAGAGAGAGAGATTCCGTTTCAGCCCCCCCCTTCCTTTCAGGCTTCACTAAATGTTTGCACCCTATATCAAACAATAACTCTGATATTTTTTTCTAAATATATTAGACAGTGAAAGTAACTTTTTTTTTTATCAACAAATCATATCCATCTGTTTGACAGTATTACTCGTTTTTATTTTCCTGCTTCAAGTTCACACGAAGTCCACGTGCTTGTGCAGTCAATCAAAATCATTCGACACTGTGCAGGTGTGAAAGTTTCGTCACATCGAAGACGAAGTGCGAGTATTTCCAACAAGTTATAACATTTATTTTTATCATTTCTAGATTTGATACCAACATTTGAATAATTAGTGAATAAAATATATTGGGCATTAACACTTGAATTTGAAACATACCCTCTGCCAATTTCAAATACCACCGCCGACACGTGTACATTTTGAACTACTATTGTTTTGTGACTTTTTTAGATGCATGTTTGTTTTGAGACTGAAATTTTTGTTCTAAAAAAGACCTTAACTTTTTTTTAACAGGTTAATTAAAATTTTCTGGAAATACAGTACTGACTAAGTAACAGATTTAGGGGAAAAAGGGGGGGGGGGTATTAATTATATCGAATAGCAAACATATAAAGTTACGGTGAAGAAAGATTTTTTCTCTATAACTATAGACTTTACATACATGTATTATAGTAGCGAATATTCTGTAGTGCATTACATTTTAAATAAACATTTCCTTTAAACACACTATCAATTTAATTCGCTCCAAAGATAATAAATTTACAGGATATCCGCAGTACTATGTATAACTCTCAGAACTAGTTCTATCATATTTTCTGTAGTAATTGAATAAAAAAACGCGATAGAAATAAATATTTTCGTAATTTTGCTGCGTAATTATTTGACTTGGATAATTATATCTACATTAACGATTTGTCGTCTTTAACAGAACATCAAAATGTTGCAGTGCTTGAAGTATTTGCACATTGGCCTTAGTTAAATTTAATATTTCAGCATCGTTCTACATAGGTACAGGATGTGCTTATAACAACATTTTTTTTCCAGAGTAATTTAATAAATAACCTAATAGCTAAGTTAGAATAATAAAAATATATATCTTAGATTTTTCCCCCATGAAATAATGATTCTTCAAATTAGTATTAAATTAAAAAATCTGTAACTCCTTACCTACAAAAAGATAAGTCCTTTCACTTGGGAGTTCCGAATGGCAATGACAACTGAACGATAGGTGAACGCTGAACGCAAGGTGAACGCAAAGTGAACGGAACGAAGAGCGAACGCTGAACGCTTTGTGAACGGTGAACGCGAGCGCACGGTGAACGGTGAACGCAAAACTGTGAACGGTTTGTGAACGGTGAACGCACGCTGAACGAACGGTGAACGCACGCTGAACGAACGGTGAGCGAACGGAAAAATGGGAAAGTAGAACGTTTCAGGGACTGTATATATATTTTCAATTTCTTTATTTCACTTTGCTAACATATTAAGATACATTCTTATTGTAGACTTTCATGAAATGTTATCTTTTCAAGAAATAAAGTTTTCCCAGTTTTTTACGCTTATTTTTTGTTGAAAATTAAAAAAAATACTAAGACATATTTCTTGTCATTTTTGTTTTTATAAACATTTTATATTAGCAAACGCCTGCCTATAATATTAAGCTTATGAAAAAAGAATTATGCAAGAAAAAAAATCGTTTTTGTATTTCTCATTAAAATAATAAAAAAATTATTAAAATTACACTTTAATATACTGAAAGGTGGGGGTATTTCAAATCCTTCTAATTTGGGTACATAAATATGTAGGAGAAGTTTCGTTTGGTATCCCATACCACCTTAAATTATAAGCGGATTATAAAGCGTAAACTGACCCAAACCAGGTTATACTCGAATAATTTGGCCAAGAATTAGAGTCATTCCTAAAATATACCTGAAGTTCAAAAGGTACATGTTCCTGCTGCGTTTAATTCCAAGTTACTTCAGACTAGAGATAAAGATGATTTAAAATACATGTAGGTACACAGTGATGCTAAGATTTTGAAAGTGAAAGCAATATATGGTCTCTAGCATGTCTAGGATGAGAACTTGTAAACTGCAAATTGCAGTCATTTATATGAAAATTAATTTCTTCGATGCATTCAATTATATGTACATGTATATATACATAGTCTGTTTTATAATGGAGGTTAATCACATGTGATTGCTATAATGCTAATTAATCACATTCATAATCATATGCAAATAAAAGTTGACTGAAGAAATGTTGACTTGAATATATACGTGTATGTAATGAAAAAGGGTGGTTTAGGAATTCAGTTCAGAATTATATATATGCAGAATGAACTGGAATATATATATGTCTGATTTATTGAAATAAAAAAAAATCAATTTCTTATACTCCACAGCTGACCTGAATGGATACTCAGCAGAAACCATGTCTAAGCGCTCCATGCCCATTCAGCCTGTGGTTACTGTCCCAGAAGAGCGGGTAGCAGCGTACTCTGAGTACTCACAATCGACCAAACGTCAGGGGGCCTCAAACTTCCAGCTGTAAACAGATCAGTCTCTGAGGCCTCGTCTGGAGCATGAAATCAGAACTACACAAAAATAGGGTCTTCTCAGTGCTTTACCTCTCCAATTTATACACTTTATATTTGGTGACATTCAAAGTTGTACCTTGACATTGAAGAAATTGTTAAAATGTTCTTTTCTGTTTTAATTGGAAAATGTTAATTTTATGATATTGGGCTTAATTGCTCACACATTTTTGTAGGATTTGTATTTTTTGTCCCTGTTTTTTGTGTAATTTTTGCTTCCAATTGCCTTGGGTGCCCTGTTTGAAATGGTCAGTCCCCCTCTGAAAAGTTCAGCAAAGTAGTGCTACAAGTTTACAAGCTTGATATTTGATGGTAGTATTAAATGTAAACTCATTTTGTTTAGTGATTTAATTTACTTGCACATTTTGTCCTTGTCTGTTTTCAAAAGGGCATTTTGGATATATAGTTTTCAAACATTATAGAATTGTCAAACAAACAATAGATTATGATATTTTTCTGAAAAATTCTTTATCATATAAATCAAATCACTAAATAAAATTAATGATTTCAATTATTAAAAAAAAAAAAACATCAGTATTTGAAATTTTATAAGTAAATAAATTCCTACATATATATGCAAACCAGTTCTGATAATATATAATCTATAATTTTTATGACTAATTGTCACTTTTTTCTATACATTCTTCAATGAAAATTTACCCTATTATCCTAATTTGTATATATATATACATGTATATTCACTTAGATGCTGTTTTCTACCATTATTAATCATTATGTTAAATGTTTATTGCATAATACTCTCTTGTTCTTTTATATATATAATCTTATCATGAGATTTTTCTAGATATACAAAATAGTGATTATATTTTTGCATTCAAATTACTGTCTCCAAAGCGTATAGATTAAATAAATGAGAGGAATATTGATAAAAATTATATGGATAATTGTAGTGTTCTCTTATGATTAAGTGAACAAGAATTCAATAGTGTATAGATATGTAAAGAAATGTGATATTTTTCAGGGTATTTTGAATTCAGATATGTGTAAAGAATATTTGCAATAAAGTTATTTTTGGACCAATAAAATGCAAAATATATAAATAACAGTTTTTTTCTTTATATTGTACATTGTATACAGTCATGTAAATAATAATGACTCTATTCAGTATAGCTTAACTGCAAAATGTTCTAACATCTCTGTATGAGTGAAAAATTCTCGAATGGGCTTAACCAACATCCAATCAATCAATCAGAATGTCCTTGGACATTGAACCAATTACATCTCATTAGATTTTGAGTCTATTTTTAGCTCACTTAAGTCAATCAAGTGACCTATTGCTATCTGCTTTCATCTGTTATTGTCTGTCATGTGTCAACATATCAACATTTTCAGCTTCTTCTCTGGAACTGCTGAACCAATTTCAACCAATTTTGGCATATGACATCTATAGGTAAAGGAAAAAATTGTGAATTTCATGATACCCACCCTCCTTAAGTTTGAGGGGTGGTGCTTAGAACATCCAAATTAATGCAATCTTAAAAAATCTTTACTCTAAAAATCAAGCAATAAAACTATTGGCATAGTTGTAAAAAGCATTGAGCCGGTAAAAATATTTGAAATTCATGGAGTTCAGATGGGGATGTATTGATCATATAATGTAAGTGCATACATTCTTTGAAAATGTTCTCTGTACCTGGGTTTCAAGCAAACAATCTAATTGCATGGTTATGATGAGCAAGGTTTCCTCTTTGGATATTGTGAAATTCTAGGCTCAGGTCAGGGGTTCTTGTGTTAGGGCTGGACTCTATTGACATATAGTGGAAATACATTTATTCTTTAAAAAGCTTTTCTGTGCCTCTGGGTATTTAGCAGATAAACTAAGTGCAGGGTTATGGTTATGATAAGTGAGAATACCTCTCCCAAATTGTGAAGTTCATGGCCCCTGGCCATGGATCAAGGGTTCTGGTGTTTTGTAGGGGTATATATTGAGTACATACATGTAGTGAAAATACATTAATTCTTTGAAGATCTTCTCTTCTCCTGGGTATTAAGCAAACTAAGTGAATGATTATGATGAGCATGGGCGTCTCTTCTTCCAAAATAATGAAATTCATGCCCCTTGATCAGGGGTTCTGGTTTAGGACTGGACTCTTTTGATCCTATAGTAAAAATGAATAGTAAAATGAAATTCTTTAAAAATCTGTGCCCATGGGTATTTAGCAAATCAACTAAGTACCTGGTTATGATGAGCAAGGGTGCCTCTTCCAAAATTGTGAAATTCATAGCCCTTGTGTCAGGGGTTTCAGTGTTGAGTCGAGGCTCTATTGATTATATACCGGTAGTGAAAATGCATTTATTCTTTGAATTTTTTTCTTTTCTTCTCCTGGGCATCTAGGAGGCAAACTGAATAATGTAGGAAAATTTGTACCCTATTGAGAGAAGTTATTCTTCTTTACTATTTACCTATGAGAATTTATAATTTAATAACTGTAAATGATGTAATTGATAATACAAGTTGAATAAAGAATTAAACATGAATTTGAATGTATTACACAAAAAGTTCTTTTATAGTTATAAATGGCCAGGTAGAATTGTAAATATTAGATACTAGTAAATAAAAATGAGACAGAAATAGCTTATATTTTTACATTACATAATCTTCACATTCAAAGAGAGGACAGTGTTTAAAAATGTTTAGTCTGCATAATGATAGTGACAAATGGGAGTGTTTAGGTGCTGGCAAATAAATAGATCTACTCTATGATTTATTACTGAGTACTAGACTAACTATTTTATTAACCCTGATTATCCCATTTCTTTTGTTTTGGGGCAACATGTCTCTCTGTGACCGGAAAGGCCCTTGGGCCTCTTAGTACAAAATCCTTTTCTGCTTAAACTTTTAGTAAGGCGTGACATTCTCGGCGATACATAATTAGCGTCTCTCAAAGAGTGACCTAGATTCTCATTGGTTGCCGGATTAGCTCATCAATACTGAAATTTACACAGCTTTTCATTCACGGGTGAAATACACATGGGATAAAAAATGAGTCAGAGTCAACGAGTGACGCAAGGAACCAATTACATCGTTTCTTACAGTAAAGAGGTGTGGCTTATGTCATCTCATCGTTTGTTTACAACAATCTAAAGTTGCTAATGTTATTAATTTCTTAAACAATGAGAATCTAGGTCACCATTTGAGAGACGCTAATTATGTATCGCCGAGAATGCTACGCCTTACTGAAAGTTTAAGCATAAAAGAGATTTGTACTATGTAGATTTTGAGTATATTTATTTCATTTTCAACAATAAGGGCACCAACCATTTAATCCCCCCGTACCCAACACCACAACCGGAAAATGCATGTTCAAAGACGATGAAGTAAATGGCGGACAAATATCTTACGTGGGAAAAGGTACATATATTTACACAGATGTAAATAGTGTTCCATTACTTCATCTAGACCAAATGAAATGTCAAGAATACAATTATACTTGAATTGATACCAAAGTGAGCCCTGCATTGTAGATTTCAATTTATTTCATATTTTATCTATGGACATATCACTCTAGATACATTGAAATACTTTGGAATTGGAACCGTGTGCAGAGTATAGGTGGTTCTTATGTATACATAATATATACAGAGAATATTACATGGTTAAAAAAATGCATATCATATTTCATACCGCCTGAGTGGCCCCATATCAACCAGAGCCCGAGGGTTGATGGATTATTTTATTTATCATATATTTAAAATATTTAATATATGATTTCATATAAAGTCATTTAAGAATGTTTCTTTAAAATCCATCGTAGAGCCGATTAGATATCAAAGAAAAAAAAAATTGTTTGTATCATCTGTCCTTAAAACTAATTTTAGTACAAGATTTTACATGTATATTTCAATAAAATCATGTTAATTTACTTTTAAACTTTATACAAACGTTACTTCCGGTATGAAATGGATTTCTGCAGGCTGATCTGATACGTAATATGGATTTTCGGACCTGTCGTTGATATGGGGGTATTGTGGGTATTGTGGATGACGTCATCCGTAACACATAGTGTGGAATTAAGTGTATTTAATACTGATTGTAACGCTAGCGGTTCTGCTAGAAATTGTTTTCATAGAATTAATAATTCGCTCAACTCCTTTTATAAATGTACCATTCGCAAAGAAGACATAAGATTATAAACATTAAACAATTAAATTTATTAAGTGCATTATCAACAAACAATTTATTTAAACGACGACATTCACACCACATTCATACCGAACTAATAATAATAAATGTTTCATTAAAATAAATAATTAAAATTATACCATAAAACAGACTGAAAAACCACCCCAAAAATCTAACTATCTATTCCTATACGTATAAAAATATGTGACAACAAGTCGTAGTTATTTATAACTTTGACTTGTAAAACTTAACACCAAGCTTTACTGTATTTAACAGGTTAGCTTGTTAAACTCCTAAAATACTTTATTAAATAAGGACACAAGCCGTGGTTATTTATAACTTTGACTTGTTAAACCTAACAACAAGCATTACTGTATTTAACAGGTTAGCTTGCAAACACTAAGGGCAAAGAAAGATAACTCTAATAATCTTAAGTAAGTTCAGCGAGAAGCAAGGTTTAAAAATTCCGAAGTACTCTAATAAAATAATTTCTATTAAAAATAATTGAAGAAAAATTTATGTATCTAGAATAATTAAATTACTGTATGAAAATAAAATAAATAATTGACTTTCGTTGAACTAATCAACTCTAGTCATCATAAAAGAGAAAGATAGCAAACGTATAACTTTAGTTACATAGTTTGCATTAAAATGAAAATGAAATAAAATAGAGTAAAAATGAAAAATAAAATAATCCTAGATAAATTAATTACTAAAGAAGACTACTCAGTCATAGACTGTTGAGTCTTTCAAACAACCGATAGCGGACAATAGTATTTTACTATTTTGTGTCCTACACGGTTAAACCCTATCCTAAATAAATGAATAAATAAAATAAATTCCTAAATAAAAATAAATAAATAAATAAATAAAATAAAGTAAAAGATAGACAAAATAAAAATTAAAATAAAATCCTAAAAAAAATCTGAGAGTTCCGTAAAACGGACATACCAAATCAAAATAAGCAGAAGAGTGACTAAAAATTCTCAGCGTCTAAATTTTATATGACTCTATGACAGAAAATAACGGAAAATGCTGGAAAATGACAGATATTAACGGAATTAATAATTATGAAATTTCATTGGATTATCAATTAATGATCAATTACATCGAACAATCTGATTGGTCAATTGTAAAACATCACGATCGTTCACGTGAACAAGTGTCACCAAATATTCTATACAAGTATGAAATAATGAATTCTTACATATTTATCAATAAAATAAAATATATTTTACAATAAATAATTTAAACAAAACAAATTAAACTTAAAACAATATTCAGTTCATCTCAAAATACAGTCATTCATAAGATACCGCCATT